TGTGGGGTGTAGTCATTGGTTGACCACACCCGATACATTCGGGAGATAGATCCTGACCAGCGCACACTACGGTAAAAAAAAATGGGAAAAATCATGAAATATATTTCTGCACGAAGGTGTTCGAAATGTCTAGTTGAATAGGAGTGAGAGGAGCAAAACATTTCATCACTGCCGCTTTCTATTCGTACTTAGTATTGGTTGGCAATTGAAAAATAAGATATTCTAACCTTCCTCAGAGGTAAACGTCCATAGGCGTTAGGTCCGGTGACCAGGCCTGCCAAACGGTTGGGTCCTTGGTTGGCTATCCAATTATTACCAAAATTTACAGCCAAAAAATTGGTGACAATTGCAGTGTTGTGAGGCGAAGCCCCGTCTTTTCCCCGTCTGAGCTCCATTAGTGGCAGTTCATCAACAAGGGGTTCAATATTTTGCCTTAAAATTTCTAAATACCTCTGAGATGTGAGAGTGCTATAATAAATGAACGGGCCGATGAGTCTACCTCTGAAAACACCTGGTCACACACTGAATCCAAATCTTCCTTGACTTCTCTGCTCCATAAGCTTCGTCTATCCAAATACAATTCAGCGAAAAATCACTTTCCACGTTTCACTGGAAAGCCATGCGGCGTTCAAAATCACCTGGTCTAAGTTGATAACTCTTCTGGTCCTGTATGGCATGAATTTGTGTTTTTTCAAAATCTTTCTAACGTTAGTTCTCAATAGGCCAGTTGATATTTTCAAATTTTGCGTTGACGTTGGGATTATTTTTAACAGCTCCTAAAACCACTTTTTCTTCCAACTCCATAACCCTATTTGATTCATATAATTTTGGCCTTTTCTTTCCAAATTAACCACCATACATTTCATTGTTTGTTCTTTAACATTAGTATTATTATTGTTGAAGTTTCATTTATTAATAGTAAGTATTGTATGAATTGTCAGTTTTATTGAAACTATGCGTTTTAATTACTGCTGTCAGAATATTTCTCAACATTTGATAGCTACTACTGAACAATTTCTTTCTGTTTTATCGCCGCTTCGCTCAAAGCTTACTAGATCAAAGTGTGCGTTTCAAAGTCTCCATGAAAAAATCTGTATTTTGAACATGATTCTAGCAAAATATCAAGTATGCTACATTTTTGGAAAGCTGTTCAAACCCTATTGAAATATGCAAGAATATACAGGGTGTCTCTTTAAAACATAGTTTTCCATCAATAACTATTGATAACTCATTTGAAAAAATAAGATTTTTACACCATTGAATTCTATGTGAAAAAGTGCTTCGGAAGAGTTTTCACAGAAACAAGAAATTTTTGATAGGAAAAAGTTACAGTAACTTTTCCAAAATGCGTTTTTTCGAAAAACATCTGTAAGTCAGAAACGATGATTGATATCGATATGCGTTGTATGCCGATCTTATGTTATTAAAACATTATGTAACATTGAGATAGGGAAGGATTACGACGAGGATCATGTAATTGAAACAAGGTAGATCAATTTGAGTTATTCTGAATAGAGGAAGTTTTTCTACGAAGTCGTTTCATTCCGTTCCTTATAAATGAACCTGAAGTGAGTTTATTACATCGATATGCGGTTTTCACCATTTTCACCCTCAGACACAGCCATCAGTTTTCATCTATCTAGTTTGAAAACAGTAATTTTCCTTTGAAAATATCCAATTTGGCCTACTCTGTACAAGACTGTAGAGAGTAGCAAAATCTGGTGGGAAGGAAAAATCAAATATTTTTGATATTTCTTCATATTTTCATTGCTGTGCTTACAGTTATATTATCACTTCCTATAAGTCATTGTTCTCTAAGAAATACGCTAAAAATGGTGACTGGAAAGTTTTAGAGTATTCTGTCATTATAGATATATAGATTTCATTACCTTTGTTCAACTTCTCGTCCAAATACATCAAAAGTTTCAAAAACTTATTCCAGATATCGGAATTCAAAGTTGCCACTATGATCGTTACGATGTTCATAACACTGAGCTCTATGGCACAAAGTAATCGCAATACCGTGGTTGTACTATGAAATTGTGGAAAAAAATGAGCAATTATTCCGTAGAGAGAGAATGCTCCACCGATTATGAAAAAAATTATTGTAATTGCTGAATAATAATCAAATTTTCTTATCTCTCCTTTGTTTCTGTTGAAAGGGGGTATGATAGCCATTTTTTCAGCAAATTTCATCAAATCGAAAACATACTTTATGTCAAAGTCTTGGTAATTGATAGACATATTATTGGTTAGAATTTTCACTGTTAACAATTCTGCTGAATATGATTGTTTCCTACTGTACTCGATACTTATTGACAAATTTGTACTTTCTTGTAAGCATGCGAAGAAGTAATTTAGATCAGTATGGGGAGATAAATAATTCACTAATTTTTTGATTACAATCACCCTATCAAGTGAATAATGCTATGAATGAATACAAGGTGAATACTTTTGTGTTGCCATCACCCTTCATGACCTATGGAAATCCATCAAACATTGTACCCCAAATGAATATACAAGAAAAGTACGAGAAACTTGATCAAGAGATGACGCTACACTCGAATTGTTTATAATTTGTAGGTATTCTTCATCAGCTTGGCAATACTGGATTTCATCATTCCACACTTTCTTGTTTTTTAATGTTATTTTTATGTTTTGCAGCAGTTCGATTGAGATTTGAAAAATTGCATATTAAATAAAATCAAAGCTTTGTCATTTTGCTCGTATTGTAAAGTGACTGGTTATTGATCAATAATAGTCTTCTGTATGGTGCCGCATTGTAAAAAGTATCCATCCCCGTTTCTGCTTTGAAAATTTGTTTATGAAAGTGTAAGTAGGTAAGTAATTTTATTCATTTTATGTCATTCACTCATTCAGTNTGTAGCATTGTAAAAAGTATCCATCCCCGTTTCTGCTTTGAAAATTTGTTTATGAAAGTGTAAGTAGGTAAGTAATTTTATTCATTTTATGTCATTCAATCATTCAGTTACATGATTTGATTTCCCTACGATTTACAATTCAAATTGTCATTAATAATCCTATCATAGAACCATGTAGGTATTACCTAGACAATCTGTAGCCACCTAAGCTAGGCTTGTGTCATGGCTGTTACAGATTGATATTGGTTGTGTTACATAATATATAATAAAATAAATACATAAGAGCTAAAATAGGTCGTTTGGTTATAGTGTCTACCTTACTAGGTTTAAAACCGCAGTTGGAGAATGATGCCTAGAGGGAGGTAATAAGAAGAGAGAGAGAGCAGGTAATTTAGCTCAAATATTTTCAAAGTTATCCTGCAATTGATCATAATGATTTCTGATAAAAAATTTATGACTCAATCTACAGCGTGGTATTCTAATTGCTTGGTTGGAGGTCATTGGCATATTATATTTATGTGTTAGTGGGGTTATTACAAATCCATAATGAACATTGATAAGCGTATAATTTTCTGACTTTGAACAAACCACTTTGTTCGTAGAGTAACTCAGGGGAATATCTCCTATCCTTCTTCAAGACGATTTTGATCAGTGGGATTCGCCACCCCATACTAAGATGCAGTATCTAATCATCAACTCCACCAAGGCACCGTACAAATTCAGTATGACATCTCTACTTAAGATACTTCTTAGTTGATAAAGTTCCCGAATTAGTTTGCAGAGTTTTTTTACTATCTGATCTATGTGATCATTCCAGCGTAGAAATTGGTCGATCATGACGCCTAAATATCTGATAATATTTTTTTATATATTCGGGAACATCCACATTTTTGGTTTTCTGTACACGTATATTTGTGAATCGCAATGAAGTTTGCGTCAGGTTGGTCTTTTCTTGTTGAAGAGAAAGTTTTAAATTTATTTTTATCTATGTTGACTCAATAGATTATTACTTAGCCAGCTATATCGTTTATATTCCTTTGTTTGCGTTTTCGTATGTTTCATTCCAAGTTCATCCCACAAATACTACAGGAGAATCATCGGCGTAGGATAATAGTTTTTCTTTGAAATTGCTGATATTAAAAATATTGTTTACATAGAGCAAAAATTATTCCTTTGTTTGCGTTTTCGTATGTTTCATTCCAAGTTCATCCCACAAATACTACAGCAGAATCATCGGCGTAGGATAATAGTTTTTCTTTGAAATTGCTGATATTAAAAATATTGTTTACATAGAGCAAAAATAAAATAGGGCCTATTACTGTTCCCTGAGGTACGCTCATGCTGACGGGTAGCGTGCATTAGCAATTAACAGACTTGTTTGGAAGAAACAAGTGAACGTATCAGCGTAGTTACTGTCATTATCGTTCATGGTACACAGTATTCACATTTTATATTGATACTCACTGTCAATTTATTTGTTGATGAACTAGTTATCTGTAGAAAATAATGTCATTTAAAGGTAAGGGCAAGAAAAGTATTTCAAATAACTAAAGACCAGCTGCTTTACTAGTGTTATTGACAACCATAGAAAAAGCTGTTAGTCGACATTTGGAATGACTCGGAGTCATCGGAGATATTAACTCAGGATATATAAACTGAGGAAGCTAGCCACCCATGCCATCGAAACGTCAGGAAGAAATTCAAAAAATCCACGGCCTACAAACCCGGAAAATAGTGACACTGATATCTATAAAATCTATTGAAATAATATCGACAGAAGATTCAAAGTGTAACGCAGTTACATCTGAGATGGAAGTATTTCCGAAAAAGTTATAACCTTGCGTGCTACCGAAACAAAAAGTTAGGAAGACATTCAGAATTAGGACATACCTCAAACCCGATGGAAGATAATGATATCTCATTCATCAATGTGTATTTTATTTTATTGTAATTTCATTGATTATTTCAGGAATTTCAAATCATTTTATCATATCAGGCAATGAGAGTCCGAACTAATGAAATTCACTATGAAACATATTCAACCACCTTCAAAGAAAAACTTGCCCAAAGTTAACTATAGCGAACCGGTAAACATTACATGATGAAAAAATTACAAAGTATAATCAAATAAGTTTTATTAAGTAAATTAACATGGGTTGATTATTCCAAAAATAAATTTAGGGACTTTGCTCCTTGGAAATGGACTGCTTATTGAACTGCATCATGAATATGGAAAAGGAAAATAAATAGTCGAATATCTTACTAATTATCCCCCGATCTATATAGTAGAAACCAGCAGCGTTGGTTCGAGTTTTCAAAAGAGTAACTATTTCTCCCAGGATAATAAGTTCCTTCCTATCTTCTGAATCTGGACTTACAGTTTGTTGTAAATTGTAACATTTCGTTAATGTTTTTTTTGATTCTTTGTTGACGTCTTCGCAGTGAAGAATAATTCTCGAATGAAACATCTGAAATTATAGAAATTTCTGAAGTGGATTTGATGATTGTTAAGATCAATTGTGCAAAATTCCAAGTGAAAATTTTTGTTCGAATTATATGATGAGTTAAGTCCCTTTTAACAAAAATGTTTTTTAATCTGCAAGGCAACTGAATCAAATTACACCCTAACGAAATAATTCAACACATAGAGTGAAATGTTATTTGAAAATTATCGCTAATGTCACCTATGAATGTAAACTTTGAAAAGTTTCTTATTCTTATACAGTAATCGGGATTTTGTGGTTTTCAACGTTCTGAAGCATTTCAAGTGTATTTATCCCACATTCGGCAAACGAATGCCCGTTGACTTTCGTAAATTGAAGTCTTGAGGTAAGCCCATAGAACATTGAGAGTATTTCGTGATAATTGTAAGTATACCTCATATAATATTTTCTGGTAGAAAACAGGACCAACACCATAGTCGCAGTGAATTCTAGTCCATACGTCTAGATTCTTTGTATGTTATGTGAAAAATTCATTTACTGAGATAGTTTTCGTCAGACCAATATCGACAAATATGACGACTGAAACGAATTCATCTTATTTTAGTTTCGTCTATCACCAAACACCTCAAAAATGTGTGGTGCTTAATAGCTTTTCATATGTTTTCGGTCAAGATTTCAACATTTCTGTACATATCTGTACTAAAAATTAATATTTTTTTAACCCAGATATGTAGACGATATTCTCGCCTGTTTCAGAGAGGCTACACGACAGCTGAACCAATTTTTGACATTCATGAATAATCTCAATAGAAACATTCAGTTCACACTCGAAATATAGACAGAGAATTACACACCATCAGAATGAATTTGAGTTCAATGTATATTACTCAATAATATTGAGCTTATTGCTTTCTACTATCATTTTTTCTATCTTCACAGCCCGAAATTTCACAACTTTTCCAAGTCGAAAAAACAGCGAAAAGTTGGGAGTTTTGTAAAATTGTCACTTCAAAATTTGTGGACTGTTCAGGACTGTTTTCTTACTTGGGAGAAATTAAATTTTTTTGAAGATTTCAAACAACTCAGAATTCTCTTCAAGTTATGCATGTTGGGAAATTCTAACCTTCTCCTGGTTCTTTCTCTTTTCTTATTACCTCTCCTTTTCTTTTCTCTCATTTTAATTTCTGTAATTATTATTCATTTTTTTACTATTATTTTTCCTATCTTCATGGCCCAAAATTTCTCAACTTTTTCCCAAGTCGAAAAAGCAGAGCCTCCCCCCATCCTCCCCCCATGGCGATGGCCTGGATGCAACCACAAGTTCCCCAATCAAAATGATACGGAAATTTTGTACTATTCAAGGAAGGGTTGCAAACTCAATTATTTGGAGTCCTTGGAAATTCATAAGCATAAAAATTGCTGGTGCAACCTGTTAAATGATCAAATCGAGTTTACTCACCGATTTTCAAATTAGCGTATCCACATTGTCACAGATAAACAAAATTCAGGTACTCAAATAAGCTAAATACCTCTGTTATTACTTACAGTGGTGTTATATGAGGGCTAACGTAATCAATCATGGAAAATGTCCTTTAAGGACGAAACTGCAGTAACGTTAGTTACAAATGAAAGTAAAAGACATGGAAAGTTTCAATTTTCACTTTTCATAATTATACAGTATGTGAAAACTTCGAATTGAATTAATGAAATGAACTCCTACAAATACTTAAATTTGATATTGTTAACATAATAGCAATATATACAAACAAAACCATGATATTTTTTTCTCCAAACATGTTTGAGTAGTAAACGTTTGAAAAACTAGTTTCAATTCCGTTGTTTGAGAAATTCATGATTCTTATTACTTAATACCTATTTTAATCAATATATTTTGTTTCAACTTCAACATACCACTAATCAAAATATGTGTTACAAATTTTTCCCACGTCATTAAAAATAAAAGCGATAATGGTTCAATATTTTGCCAATACAACGGTATTACTTTAAAATCTAGCAGGTGTCGCAAGTGTATACTGCTTTTGAAACTCCAGCTCCAGAGCTGGACTCCAAACTTCAAAAACGAAATCGCTGCGCTTTCGTTTCATGCCGACTGAGTTCCAAAGAGGTTCAATCCTATTATCAAAACAACTATTGTACTAGGAGAATGATCTACGTAGAGAAATTTCATGATTGATATTGCTTTATTTTCGCAAAACAACTTACATAGAAGTTCCCTTCCCACACAAAAATTGAGAAATAGTTCATCCAACATCAATTATCAAGGGAAATGTCTCATCATATATCAATCATAACTACATACTAAGATTTTGTCCATAATATTTTACTCACTATTATCAGAATGGATATCGATGTGAGGCAAAATATTGTCTTGAAATTATTATTGGTTTCAGAAAACTTTTGAGTACGATCTGTGGCGAGCATCAGGCTGTTCGAGACGTCCAGAAGAAGCATGAATATATTCTCAGTAGCTAAAAAGATTTGCCAACCAAATAATGTATTGAACTTTTCTATCAACTCTGAGAGAAGTAGGTAGTAGTATGTAATATCTTTGACACTCTTTATGTTGCTCGACCGATGACTAACAATAAAATTATGTGCTGTGCTGTGTAAACTTGATTTGACAAGAAGTTTGTTGATTGTCTTAGATCGCTCGGCCAATGCAGAAGCAAAGTGAGATACAACAAGCAATGTGATAATGCAATGGTAAAAGTTGACATATTTAAATACAGAAAAGCGAAAAATGAACCAGTTGTAGTTGAAGCACCACACATAGGCATCGTAACCGAAGATAATAAAAATGAAGGCGTGATACAGCGTTGTCTCCAATTCCAACCAGCTGTTTTTCTTGCTTCCGAAGTATCCACCTGAAAAAATATATTCATGAAAAAATTGACTACAAATGTAGTTTATTCGTTGAAGGAAGTGCCCAAATACAATAATATAGTTTTAGTTCTGATTATTTGTTTGTTGTGTATTTATTAATATTCGAAAATAAAATGCCACAAATCAGGAAACGAAATCGTTTCAAAGTTACCATATATTAATTTTCTTGCTATTTGAAACTATTTAATTTGAGGATTGTGGTGTATAATTTAAATCAATATCACCAAAATGTATCCTCAAAAATTATGTTAACTTGTATTGGTCTTCTTCAATTGGTCGTTATGGAGATAATTGGAAACAATTGATCCAGTACGTAAATGATCATGATATTTTGTCAGAATATCAGTCAGGCTTCAGAGTTGGGCGGCACAGTTGTGAAACTGCGGTGCATAATATCTTATTTGACTGGAATATGTGGATAGACGAAAACAAATCAATTGGAACCGTATTCTTAGATTTGCGACGCGCCTTCGAGACAGTCGAAAGAAGGAGATTACTTTTAAAACTACAATACTATGGAATAACCGGCACAGTACTGAAATGGTTCAGAGACTATTTGAGTGACACGAAATCGCAGTTGGCCCCTGATGATGAATCCGCTTGCTTGTTTGACCCCTTTCTTGCAACCTTTCTTGGCTGTACCGTACTGACGAAGGCTAAGTAGCCAGAAACGCGTGCTTGTGGTTTGCCCACCTTCCTATGAGTGCTTTGTCCAATAACCTTTTTTCCATGAAAATTATCATATTTGTAATAGGTACCAGAATCAGCCGAAATATCCATGCAGGAACCAAAATAAGAGATGTACTGAAGAATCTATTCATAATTCATCTATTCATCATGCTTTCAATAATTAAGATCATGGTGTCAAAGATTATAATTCGATAGTTCAATTCAAGGGAAGGTTGAAAATGCACATACTGGGCGAGTGATTTTGATTTGATTTTATTTTATTGTTATTTTTCGAATTCAATAACTTCATTACTATTCTAAGGTTTTTAAAGTGTTGTGTTTGTTACTTTGTATCTGTATCAATACTTTTGTCTTACTACCTATGTGTAGATATTTCATATGAGTGTCAAGCTGCTGGAAAATAATTCCATGAAAATCAAAAAATAAAAAGATAAGTACTCTTGATCATTTGATCACTTGATCATTTCCACATTGATTTCAATTTAAGAGCCACCGGTATACAGCTGTTTCAGCCTATTGGGCATCGTCAGAACCGGGCAGGCGGTCCTCGATTGAAGACAAAATGAGAAAAAACCAAGAAAGTACTTGATAAAAATAGCTGCGTAAACGCAAGCGAAACATAAGTGGAACCACCTATTGGTGTGACACCCAACTTGTCAACTTGTCAAGTTGACTTGGGTGTCACACCAATAATATGTTTGTAATTCATTGTTTGAATATTTTGACATTAACCTGATGATAGTTAGGATCAAACATATTGTATATTAGCTTATTTTGAATAAAGGAACTAATCAAGTAATTTTCAATAAGACATTTTACGTATACCAATTAAAAGATAAACCACAACTCCGGGTTTCTTCACCAAGTTTACGTCCCTAAAGCGAGAATATGTACTAAAACGGTTATACTTAGATCTTATGTGTATGCATAAAGGTATCATTAAAATAAAGAAAACCCATATACCTATAAGGCTTAATTTTTTTTTATATCTGCCGACTTTAGTTTCCAATATGAGCCAGAAAGCTCTATGCACGGAGACCGAGTCTTCAGTCTTCATGGTTGCCCCCCAGTTTCTCCCAAAACTTTGCTTATTTTAATTTTTTTGCTTATTATATTCTATATCCCTTCATTCTTTTTTCTTGCTTTCGTTTTTTCTTATTGCTTATTGTGAAAAAAAGGGTGTTTATTCATATCAACCAATCAAGTTGACTCAAACTACTATAATGCATTTTTGCAAAAACGAAACTGAATTAAAACAATCAACTCAAATGAATGAATTGAAATTGATAATAAGAAAATATCATTTATATGCTAGGAATCGCACGTTAAAAGGTAAAGCCTCATTAATCTCCAAGCTCCGACAAGTTTCGTCTTTTGAGAGTTGTCGTTCATAGGGAGGCATAATACTGTGATCTACGAGTATATAGGTGTATTTTCTCGTAGGTACTAATCTTATTCCACATTTGTCATTATTGCCAAAAGTTATTCGCTCTCTCTGCTCGATCAAAATACATCGCACTGTTGTGGACTTGTTGAACACTTTTCAGTACGGTCCCTTGTTCGGAAGTTTGGAATGTCAAATATTGTAAGATATTCACATCAACCTAGCATTCTTTATGACTTTCATTCTTCAAATAAACTCATAGATAAAAACCAAGAAGAGTGAGATCAGGGGACTTACATATAATGATAGAAACAAAACCCAACAAACATAATTGGAAGAAAGAACGCTGGAAGGTAGTTAATGTTATGAAACATGGAGTAGATATACCAAACCAAATGATACTTGGTAGTATAATATTCAATAGACATGAAGTGATAGGTATAGGTACTTCAAACATAGAAAATTACTTTAAAAACTTTTTACGACTGTTTAATGTTATATATCATATTACAGTTGTGTTGAATTATTTTCTTTTATATTTTCATTATAACAAAGTAACTATACAAGAGCATATTAAAAAAATTGCACAACTATTATGTTAGCAAATGATAGTCATAACTATAAGTAACCTAAAAGCACCCATTTGAATTTCGAATGTTTTTTAAACATGCGGCAAAAATTAAGGGACTATTCCTTGGACGATGATGATTTCTGATAGGGCACTTTCTTTCGAAGATACGGGGCGAAAAAGAATTTCGACAATAACAACTTTGGTAATTTTTGAATTAATAACGTAGCCGAAATAAAAGTATAGCGTATTACTCTGGCCCTACCAAGTAATAAAAACTCTAACAATTCCGTTGGTATCTATTAACAACATTCCGATTACTACAAACGGCTGCATACATTCAATTTTCTGGATGTACCTAACGCAATCAGAAACGATCCTGATGTTTTTGAAGGAGTCGATGAGGAGAAGATTGGATTCTTGCATCCGAGTGGGGGTGGTCATTTTCAACAGTTCTGGTATATTGAGAAAAAGTTAATGTAATTTTTAGTAATTAATTGTCATAGTCGAATTTTTTTTTCGCGCCCTATCAAAAATCATCAAAATACAAAATATCCTTAGAACAGTCCAAGCAATTGTCCCTTAAATTTTTGCCGCATGTTTAATAAACACCCTTTATATTTTGGTAAGTATTCATAAAGTAAATAGCCTCATTAGGTTGTTATCAAATAAAAATCATTTAAAGTAGGTATATAGATAAAAGCATTAAACCGCATTTCAAAAACGGCATGAGTTTTTGTAAACATTAGTTGATTAATATGTGCAATGTATAGATAATCAAGTGTGTAATGGATCAAATTCTATATAGAACAAAAAATACCTGTTTAAAAAATCCGTTCTTTCGTTAACCAGTTGTCGCACCCCTACGAACGACAACCCTCAGAAGTCGAAACTTGTGCGAGCTAAGGACTAACGAGGTCTTACCTGGCTTGCAACTTTAGAGTACTTCTATTTCAGTGTTGAAAATATTTGATTACCTTCATTCAACTTCTCGTCCAAATGCATCAGTAGTTTCAGAAACTTACTCCAAACATTGGTATTGAAAGTAGCAACTAAGACAGTTACGATGTTCATGATCGAAAGTTCTATAACACAAAGTAATCTTAGAACTGTAGTTGTGTTACGAAATCGAGGATAAAAATATACAATAATTCCGTATAAAGAAAAAGCTCCACCAGTGACGAAAAACATGATTACAACAATCGAATAGTATTGTGATTTTTTTATTTCTCCTTTGTTTTTGTCAAAATTTGGTATTATAGCCAATCTTTGGCTGGATTTCATCAAATCGAAGACGTACTTCATGTCAAAGTCTTGGTAATTGATGGATATTTTATGGCTTAGTACTATCACCGTTGTTAATTTCAGTTAAACATGGTTGTTTCACATTATACTACACTTATTGACACATTATATTTTTTGTTTGTGGACACGCAAATGATTAATCTAGATAACAAAGAGATAAGTCAATTTACTAATTTTTTGATTACAATCATTGTCGTGAGTTGATTAGGATATACATTTATATACCTGGTGGATAGATACCTACATTTTTACGGATTTCGTAGGGAAACTTCATAACACTCTACTGTATGATCCCAAACAATATGATGAAGAATGGGTAGACAATTTCGAAAATGAGGATGTAGTTTCTTTCACGTTACCAGAACAGTGCCTTCACAGGGCACAAAGACTATCCCATAATTTATTGAAAAAGCTAATCATTTTGTTATGTCGTAATTCCATTTCGTCTGATGGTTGGTGAATATCATAATGATTAGATCAATTCCTATCATAACTCGCAGTCGAAATTTCGTCACTGGTCGAATGTATACAGTCAGCGTCTGCTACCGTAACACATTCATTCTTAGATATGGGAACAAATGGGGTTCCGGATAGACACTAGGACTTCATTCTTTGTGGGGCATTTCTTCGGCAAGATCGTTTACAGGAACTTCAAACTCGATCAACGTTGGGTCACCGATCTTCATTCCATGCTGAACTTTCCGTATCTAATTGTCATTTCCAGTTTGTTTCAACCTTGTTATCGGAAATCTCTGTTTGTATATTCTAATGCAGTTTCCGTCAATGTGTTAAAACCACAGACCATTTGCACTGTGTCTTATCTTGATAAATCTTACCGGAATCACTGGCGTGAAATAAATCTATTGAAAACACTTTCCCAACACCAGAACAAAAATTACGGTCTCTCGACGCGCGTTTCGCTAACCGAGTTACCGTCCTCAGTTATGATCTTATCCAAAAAACAGTATTTTCTGGACTTATTACGCAAATCACTATTACTTAGGGAGGAGTCTAAGTAAGTGATCACACCGTGGTATTTCTATACATTTTGTTGTAGACTAACAAATATAACATTTTTTCATTTATCATTTATCAAAAAATTTCAGAAATATTCAAAAGAGGCGTATTGGAGAGTAATTTTGCCTGCTTCAAAAACAGAGTACTTTTTCCAAAACCACAGCTGTTTTCAAAAAGCTGAATATGGAAAAACTTAATTTTTTCAATTAATAATTTTATTTATATACATATATGAATACGATAAGTTACTTACTAATTAGACTCTTCAAAAGTTTATATTACACAGTAATTTTTTTAAGAGAACTTATCAGATTATCTTTTTATCTCTATTCAAAAAACATTAATGGATATTAGAAAAATTACTTTCGACTTCTATCTTCTGATCAACAGCGACAGTTCGAATAATCACGAAATAACTCCTGAAAGGCATCGGATACTTCAATTTCAACAACTGGCGGGCTCGTTTTGTGAAGAAATGAAAGTGAGTATAAAAAATAACGTTCCATTCATCTATCAGATACCGCCAGGGATACGTTTATGGATGGATAAAAAAATTCAATATTTTCAATTTTTTAATGAAGGAATTGAAATTTTATTTGTTAATCTAAACAAATATTTTGAAACTGGGTTCTCTATTCTCCAACTGAGCCGTCCTTCCAATGCATAATAATTGTGAAACAATATTCGAGAAAAAAAGTAAGAAAGATGAAGAAGAAAAGAACGATCAACAAAAAAATATTTAAATTTTTCCCATAGTCATTAGAACTATTGGACTGACCCGTAGAAAGAGAAGATTGATGACACTATTACTGGAATAGGATGCAAGACTTCAATCAGAAATCAGTTGTTCCGTCCTAAATGTGAACATAAAAAAGAGGAAGATTGTGAAAGATGGAATAATTTATTGAAGGGGTTAATTTTTAGGAGTGATTAATTTTTGGGAAAGAATGTTTTTGGCTTTTTACTACTCCATCTTGATACAAAAAAAGGATGAGGGAATCTTTCAAAGAAAGGAAGGGAGTAATCAATTTGAAAATGAGTAACTCTATACATGGATGTGTAGATCATGCAAAGAAGTAACTTTCAGACACAAACTGAAAGAAAGTCCTCCTGAAACAGTTACTTTCTTATAAACATTGAATTACACGAAAGAAAAAATTCTTTCGAAAAAAATACTTCTATATGAACACTGAATTATACAGAAGATACTTTTCTCTACTCAGTTTGTATTTCAAACATTCGTTGTGGAATAAAAATCAGATATCATTCACATGAGTTCTACTTTAAATGAATGGTAACAAATTGCACTTACATGGAACACTGTCATCCTCACTGGTATACATCGATGTTTCGCCTCAAGACACTTGCCCCAAGGCTCTTCAGTACCAAATTGGATAACATTATAGAAAATACACACAATTTATTCATGAATTACGATTTTTAATGTCACGAAATAAGCTTGATCTGCTTATGTCATCGATGACATAAGCAGATAAAGCTTATTTCGTGACATTAAAAATCGTAATTCATGAATAAATTGTGTGTATTTTCTATAATGTTATCCAATTTGGTACTGAAGAGCCTTGAGGCAAATGTCTCAAGGCGAAACATCGATGTATACCAGTGAGGATGACAGTGTTCCATGTAAGTGCAATTTGTTACCATTCATTTAAAGTAGAACTCATGTGAATGATATCTGGTTTTTATTCCACAACGAATGTTTGAAATACAAACTGAGTAGAGAAAAGTATCTTCAGTATAATTAAGTGTTCATATAGAAGTATTTGTTTCGAAAGAATTTTTTTTCTTTCGTGTAATTCAATGTTTATTTGAAAGTAGCTGTTTCAGGAGGACTTTCTTTCAGTTCGTGTCTGAAAGTTACTTCTTTGCATGATCTACACATCCATATATGGAGTTACTCATTTTCAAATTGATTACTTCCTTCCTTTTCTTGTATCAAGATGGAGTAGTAGAAAGCCAAAAACTTTCTTTTCCAAAAAGGAATAATTTATGTATTTGAGTAAAGCTGCATAGGAATACTGGTGTTAAAACCGATTCGCTTTTGTTTTGTCAAAATATTTCGTCACGAGAAATGATAGAATCCTTTCCAAATGTAAACTTTGGTGTGTGCTCAGTGCCTCTGTGAGTGTGTGACACCAACATAACCTATAAGGTTATGTCTGTGGCTACGGGAATGGTTAAGAACGTTGGATCTCCTCATCACAGACTACAATCAGTATTCTGTGCTCTTCATTTTTTGAAGAATCAACACTGCCGTAGATCAAGGATCGAGTGTTTTTGTCAAAATATATCGCAGAGGAAGGGGTCCAAGTCATAAATGAAAATAATTACACCATGGTATTCCTATCCATCTTCATAAGTCATAATATGTTATCTTCTCATCTTTCACAGTCTTTCTTTCTTTAATGTAGTCCGCAAGCAATCAAGTAGCAAAGTGACGGGAAGGTTGGTCCAATAGTTATAATATCTATGTACTTTCCATATGTTTTATTTTTTAATTATTGATATTCAAGATTGAGGTATTGTACTGTGTGTATAATTTTTCAATATATATTCACAAAAGTAGTTGATTATTTTTTGTTCATCCACTGAAAATGACAGACTGGGACGAGGTTAAAAGGTTGGCAGCTGATTTTCAAAAAGTTCAACTCAGTTCCACTACTCAAAGGTAATATGCAGTTATAACTTTTGTTAGATATTTTCCAATATGTGACCTTCTATCACTATTTTCATTGAATTTTTAATCTTCCAGGTTATCCGAAAGGAATTGTATTGAAATAGTATCATGGCTTTTGGACAGAAAAATGATCGACCTTATTTTTACAAGCGACGGCAAGGAATACCTTACACCTTCTCAACTCGTTAGTGACATCCGAGGTGAACTCTATGATAATGGAGGTCGAATAAACTTGGTTGATTTAGCCAAAACGATCGGAGTTGATTTGGCCCACATAAATTCTCACCTGAATGATGTTTTAAAAGGACACAAAGATATTCAGGCTGTATTGGGACAACTTATAGATATTTCTTATATTACAAGAATTGCTGCAGAGATCAATGAGAAGCTGTCTCAACAAGGACAGATAAATGTCAGTGATTTAACAATTCTGTATGACTTGCCTGCAGATTTTTTGCAACACCAAGTTCTCGAAAAGAATTTGGGAAAGCTCATTTTTGGAAAACAGGATAAAAATGATCCTAAGGAATTTTTCACAGGTATGTTATTTTTAACTTATCGATGATAAGGCATTGATGATATATTGCCATGGGCCTTTCTAATGTAAGCTCATGTATGTTTTTTATATTTGGGAGCTGTCAGACATACATTTTTTCCAAGTCCTTGAAAAATACTACAGACCCATGGGATAATTGTGTTTTTCTCTCATCATGAAAATTAAATTACTATCAATTTTACATTAAGAAGAATTCTGATTTCATTGCATGCAACATAATTATGGAATATCTGCGCATGGGTATTCACTTTAACACATCATATTACCGCACAATTTCTTCCAGTAATATGAAACAAAGAATTTGTTGACAGATATATTTTATTATGAGAAATGGCAGAAAAAAATTAAAACTACAAAATTATGATGCTTTGTAGACATTTACTGGTTTTTTAAATTTGTATTTGATTCTGTCTTCATATGTGAGCATAGTGGGAGAAAAAAGCTCTTCCAGTAATGCACCATCAAAATGTTCTATATAACCCAAGTATATCTATAACATTTTGTATTGCTCTTGCCGCCAAGGAATTTTACCAAGACATAATCCCCAGTTGACACATAATCAGTATTGTTGAGATCACTGAAATCTTCAGTGGTTCTGAAAAGATCAACATCACTCGAGATATTTTCTTCGTTTTCTGATTTCTCTTCAGATGTTTCTGACTTCTCCAAAGCCTTTTTCTTTTTTTCAGTAGATGTTTTGCAATCTTTCTAATTCTTTTTTCTACAATCTTAATTTTTTCTCGTTTTCTTTTTTTATATTATACTTTTATATTATATTAGTTTGCTTTTTCTTTGTTGAAGTGCTAGTAAAAAAAGGCCTTTCTGAATGGTGTTGGTATATATTTCAAGGAAATGGTCAGATTCATGGACTGTTCCTCAAGAACCTTTTCTCAACAAAATTGTCTTTCGGTGTAGTTTCTTTTTCTCTGAAATTTTCAAGTGCAGCTGGTTGTACAGTTGATATTTGTTCTTCCTCCTCATTATTTATTTTTTCAGATCCATTGACAATATTATTTTCATTTTCCTGAAACATATCAATTTTATTTTGATTAACTTCATTACCAGTAGTCTCCCAAAGATTGAATAAACTTGTTTCTTCAATCTAAGCATGCCAAATACTTTGTGGCAAACAAGCTCATAAAGGTTTTGTGAGAGGTATTGGAGCTTGGGCATAGTATCATGAAATTTTTTCAAATTTTACATTTGTGACATCAAAAAGACAAATTCCTGAAATACAAAAACCATTTGTCACAGTTGTTTTTAGGGTTCCAAAGCCCTAGTAAATATTGATCCAATATTTAATTTTGTGATCTTCACTTTAAGAGTTTCATTTTTCCAAGTACTCTTCAGAGGCCAGAAAACTGTTTCATCCATGGGTTGCAATAAATGTGTCGAATCAAGAAAAAGAACTAATAATTTTATGCTATTCATGCAGAAATTTGAAAAATGCATAGTGAGATGTGATTCATGACCATCTATGGAGAGTAATATTGGTCTTTTTATATTTAATTTTTCTTGTCTAGTCAAACATACATGCGTGCACTCACACATACGTGTCGCGGTTTTATAGGTAGAAATCTCACAAAGTGTATTATTCAAGTTCATTAGGGATTTAGCTTATAAGACAGAGTCATCTTACACATATATTTACGATGATTGTCCACGACCTCATAAATATTATTTTTTTATTTGCAAGTTTTCAGTTTTTTTTTCTTGCAGAATCATTTATTGCAAGAAGTAAAGCCAAAATAAAAGGTGCTTTGACAGGATTAACGAGGCCCACACCTGTGTCAGTGATAGTGAATCATATTGGTTTGAGCGAGAAGATATTTTTCAGTCTTTTTGAGCAATCAGCAATGTACGGGTCTCTAACTGGAAAACTAGCCGGAGCACAGTATATTCCCAATATTTATGCAAAGTCTCAGGTAGAAAATAATTTAAACCATTGACTAAAATTACCTCTATTTTGCTCAAAATCCCTTATTTTTGCAGAACGAATGGGTGAACCACTTTTACAGACAAAATGGCTATATTGAATTTGATGCTTTAAGTCGTATAGGCATATCTGATCACAAAAACTATTTGAAGAAACAACTTTCCAATGAAGATTATAAAACGTTGGACTCTTGTATAGTGTCTAAGAGTATTTTGGAAAGAATTGAAGCAGATATCGATGAATGCATTGCCAGCAAGTCGTTCATTGACTTGCAAACCAATTTACCATCAGTTTTCAATGAAACCGACGAGCAAATGGTGCTGGACACAATTTTGAGCAATCAGAAACGTTCTCAAACAATTGCCATCAACAGTTTTGTGATAAGTAAGGCATTTGTTGATGGACTTTTGAAAGAGTGTGATGATTTAGTAAAAGAAAAATCTAAGGAAACGGTAGAATTAGGAAAGTATCAGCAGTATCAGATAAGTTTGCAAGCAGCATCTATAAAATTTCAAAAATCAGATGAGATAGTAGAAAAAGTGGACAAGAGAGAGGAAAGGAGAAAGAAAGCCGCTGGAGGAAAAAGTGGTGGAGGAACACAAGGGCGAGAGACCAAAACAAAGTCTACCAAGAAGGCATCTCGAGCAGGAAACAGAAATAATTCTGAGAGCGACAGTGTTGACTTCGAGGAAAAACGAGCTGCCCTGGAAGTAGTTAGTTTTGACGACGTGAAGGGTGAGATAACATTTAATTTATTGGTTGAGTTGTTTTTATAAAGATTATTTAGTAGTTTTCAGATCTCATTAATCACTTATATCACAAAAATTTGACATGTTCCGTAAAAAATGTATTTTTCCTAGAATACTACCTAGAAGCTTGAGATGTTATAACAGTCACAAGCATAAAAAAGAATCCATTTCAAATCTAATTTATTTGGAATAAATTATAAAGCATGATATAAAAAACTTGATGCAACACTTACCTTTTTTATGAGAATTACTTATGTCAAGATCAAGTTACATATTGTATTTGCATATTTGTTTTTTCATTTTTTAGACATTGTTTATTTTTTAGTTATTGTTGGACATATTCCTTAGACTGTTCATCTCATTTAATGCATCATTGTGGCATGGTCGGTCCTTGAAACATTCGCAAAAGCAACACCAAACTGTCCCTAACCTTTGCCAAACTAACTTTTCCCAACATTTTGAATTTTTTCTGCTTGAACTTTTGTTTTGTAAAAACAAGTCCACCATATTGGATTTGGACATCTTATTGACAAAGTCTAGTAAAGTAAAACGTCTATATAGGACATCAAATTAACAAATACAAGCTATAAAATAATGCTTAAAGACAAGAGCAAAATTTTGAATTTTTTCTGCTTGAACCCTTTTGTTTGATATTCATATCCTGGGGGGTGCATAAAAGAACTATGTCGTCATCTTGGGCGATCTGTCATATTTAATTTAGAGTGACTTTATTTCATATTTTGTGTTCTTTTGAGCAAACCCTTTCATTTGATAGGTAACCATTTCATGGGGGTGCATAAAAACTAGTTCACCATATTGGATTTGGACATCTTATTGACAAAATCTAGTAAAGTAAAACGTCTATATAGGACATCAAATTAACAAATACAAGCTATAAAATAATGCTTAAAGAGATGAACAGCATATATAAATAATAAGCCTGATGTAGTCCTTCTCGACCACCAGAGCAAAACGATATTTGTCGTGGAGTTTTCAGCTCCTGGCGAGACAAATATCGTCAGAAAAGAGGAGGAAAAAGGATAAGATATCGAGATTTTCTCTTCTAACTACGCAGACTCTATCCAGATCACTCTGTCAAGATGGTTGTTCTGATTATTGGAGTTTGAGATATTTGTGAAGCACCCTTAGTCCATACGAAATTTTGCTCAATTTGTTAGCTGTATAATCCATCTGTTTGTTCCATTTCAAGAATTCGTCAATATGAAGTCCTAGAAATTTGGTGTCTTCTGAATATTTTATAGTAATGTTTTCAATATTCAAATTTTGAGGTCGATCTGTCTGTAATTGATTAGTTCTAAAAAATATAAGAATAGTTTTAGATTCATTCAAAATCAACCTATTCCTAGTGAACCATTCTTTTGTATCATTAAACGTTTTACTACTTCAGGGTATGTTTCACGGCCTATTAATGAATTAGTGTCTTCAGCAAAGACTGTAATTGAATTGTGTGTTTGAATGATAACATAAATCGTTTATGTAGATAATAAATAACAAGGGACCCGCAATGCTTCCTTGGGGTATTCCTACTTTCATTTCCGCATTCTCAGATTTGTATGTTCGACCATGTTTGTTAATAGTTAATATTTGTTGGCGATCTGTTAGGTAAGATTCAATCCATTTCAGTGAGTTTCCTCTTATACCATATAGTTCTAGTTTTTTATAAGTATCTCGTGGTTCAAGCAGTCAAATGCCTTTGACAGATCTAAGAACATACCAAGTGCTAAATATTTTTTTTCCATTAAGTTTTTTATATTTTGAGTAAATTGAAATATTGCACTGTTTGTTGATCTCTCTTGTAAGTATCCGCTGTTGGTTATTGCTAATTATATTACATTTATATAGAAAATTTGTAATGTCATTACACATAGCTAGCTCAAATAATTTTGCAAAACATGGTAGAATATTTATAGGTCAATGGTTTTCCATAAGTTCAGAATCCTCCTTTTTATAAATAGGTTTCACTAGGGATAGTTTCAGTCTTGAAGGGAAGGCGCCAAATTTCATGGGTTTATGATATATGATATAATTTCACTTATGCTTAGTATACTTCTTTTCATCAAAGAAGTGGGAATTTGATCGTACCCACTAGAGTGTTTATTTTTAACTTTATGTGATAGTTCTATTACCTCTTGAGGAGATATTGGCTTTGCTAACATTGACTCAAAATTATATTTTATTGAACATTCGAAAGGAATATTTGGGAGGTTCAATATTAATTCTGGATCAATTTTAATCAAGTATTTGTTATAGTCATTCATAGTTTTTTCTGGACCCCCTTATAATTTACATTCGGATTTTTTTTCTCTTTCTGTCAATTCCGAGCATATTGTCCACATACATTTATTTTTATTATCAGAAGTCTTCATTCTGTTCAAATATTCATCTTCTTTAAATTTTCTCAAGAGATTATCATATTCTTTTTGGTGCTGACTTACTTTATTATTTACATATAAAATTAATATGGCATCCAAAGTGCGTTTCCATTCAGCAATTTTATTATTGTTGAAATATTTAATATTCTTATTCCTAGTACTAACAGACCTAATCGGAAAGCTTTCATTAAATAATATCATGAAATTTTTCATAAAAGTATTCCAAGTATTCCATTCCATTGTTTATCAACTTCTGATCTATCTAAGTAATATACTTCATCCCATGTTAATGTATTGAGTTTGTTACTATCTTATCTTTAGTGCTTGCCGCTCTAACGCAGAAAACTTAGCCGCACAGATACAGAAGGCTGTCATTTTTGGCTCACTGCGCTTGCTCTGGGCACATGATTCTCGGACCCAATGATCACTAACCCCACGTTGTGTGGGAGTGGTCTTTGGTTGATAATGCAGGCGTGCCCTCCCGAATGTATCGGGGCTTCGGGGGATACGGCCTGATGAGCGCACACTACGGTGAAGAAAAAAATGCTTTTATTGAAAGGTTACTCAGTACAAGAGATACGAATCTAACGTAACAAATGGCAGAATTCAACGTCTGCGCATGATGAATCAAGGCAGAAATTGCTCTTCCATCCAACAGAAGAATATTAATCCCAGCTGAACAGATACAAATATAAGTACATGAATATTGAGTAGATGTAAATATATTGCTAAGTGATGAACATTGATAGCCATTTTGTGTTGATTTCAATAACTTGTTTATACAAAGTTACATGCCAATTACACGATAGAGCCTTGGTAGAATTCGTCCACATTATTAATAGGGCCTCCCAACAAGGAATTCTTTTACTTTTTTTCTGAATTTCTTTTCATTATGTATTCACCTTAAATTAATGGGAAGGTGATTAAATAACTCTTTGCTTTCGAAAATAATATAATTTTGTATAAGGTCTAGAGTAGGTGTTGGAAGGGAAATGAAGTAAGACTGACGTGTAGTATAAGTTGAGGTGGTATTAAATTGATTTTTATATTTTTTGTGGATAAGACACTGTTTCCAAAATAAAAAGGCATGCTAAGGTAAGAATTTTTTGCTTCCCAAATAAAGGGCGGCATGAATCCCTTGCATAAATATCTGATGGATCTTTTTTGTAGAGAGAATACCATATTGAATCGAAATTGTGCAGTTTCCCCAGAAATAAATTCCATAACGTAAATAGGAGTCAATTTGTGCAAAATACACTGATCTTGTAATAGTTTCATCTAACTCTCTTGCAACAACTCTCACAGCATGGCATCCTGTTGCTAGTCTTTAACATAAGTAGTCGACAAGGGAATCAAATTTTAGATTTTCATCAATGTAGAGCCCTAAAAATTTGTTTTACCTCCAAATTATCAGTTTTTAAATTTTCCGAGTGTACTGCCCCTATGTTACATCTAAACGTGTTGTTTTTGAATAGATTATAATGCAGTGTTTTCAAATTAAGTCAATAACAAACTCTTTTTTGTATGAATGAATAATTATTCCAGAAAAAATGGTTTTCATAAAATAAAAATCTGTCTGTTCAAAATCTGTTTTTCCGTTAATCAGCTGTCGCTCCCCTACGAACGTCAACCCTCGAAAGTTGAAAGTTGTGTGCGAGCTAAGGATTAACAAGGTCTTACATTTCAACGTGTAAGTCTTAGCACGGGTAGGAATTGATCTTATATTTCTCAATGCATTTAAATATGTAGTTACAATCACAATGTCTTCCGACTGTGTAAAAAAAGAATATCAACAATAGACTTTTCCTCCATTCTCTTTTATTCATATTATCAACTTTTCAGGAGTCATATTACCAATCTTAGAAAACGAGGCTTTAGACGAAGAGATAATTGAACTACTTATAAGACATCTGCTTCCCAAACTGAATGAAAATGGTCTTGAATTGGCTGCCAACATTTATGCAACCACCGTATCAGATCGAACGGCTAACAGAAGACAAACACACAATGAACTGCAAAATAAACTCAACACCCTGGTGGGAGATGTGAGACTATATGAAAAAGGATTGAAACTACTTCCCCAAGACTTGCAGGGTCAACTGTCAAAGTATCTTCTCAAAACTGTTTGTACAGATATCGTAAATGAAATATTGAATTATGTGGCAGCAGAACAGAATTCCAATGTAGTTACCAATAACTTCAACAATGATCAGAGATTGAAGTTTGTCAATGAGTTGGCGCCTGAATATAGAACTTCACTTCAACCACTGGTCAAATCTTTGACAGGACAAAGCATTGACGAGTTTATGATAGCGGTGGAAAGTGGTTTGACTTCTTGTAGTATGATACTAAAAAAAATTGACAAGAAAAAGGATAGAACTGTTGTTCTCAACCACAAATATCAGCTTTTAGAAGAGTTGAATAAGTGTGAGGATGTGGCCTTGGTTCTACATTTGGCGACGATTGTTATATTCACTACTGCTACCCAGTGCATGCTCCATTTCAGTGGAAAACATTTGATGGGTGTTCTTTCATTTTTGAAGCAATATTTGAATGAAGAACAGGCACTGGAAATGGGTGCTTATCATGGTGAGTAAATAGCACACTCTAATCATAAATGCATTGGTTGATTTTTTTTTATGACATTATGCAGTTTATTACAAATCTGGTGGTAGTGTTGAAGTAAAATCATGAACCAAAGATCGAAATATATTAAGTTATTTATTTTTATGCAATTGAAACGTATTAGTCATTCTTTGTTTTTGTCTAGATATTTGACTTTTCAGTTAGCTACCTTGAAAAAGGTTGAGGAATATTCTAAGTATACCATCCTGTAAGGTGTGAAAGCTTTCCTGGCAACAAATTATTTGCTGGTTGTTTACAATCCGGAAATTTAAAATCAAGCAGGGAAAAATTATACTAAATTCATGTTGAAAATACTTTTGAAGGTACACTGTAAGCAATGAATACGAAGACTTTCCTGAATGAATAAAATGAATAATTTAAAAAAAAAATTCATTCATAAGACAAGAGTATTAAATTTTTATCATTCATGATACTTCTGGTCAGTTGTTGACGAGGAGAATGGAAGGAAAAAGTAGGTGCACAAAATGGCCTAACATTCAGTAAAAATTACAATCCCATGTATAAATAATTACCTAACAACATCTTATATAACACTGACATTTTTTTTTCAGATTTTGTTACTTTGATGTTGAGTGGGGGTTCAGAATCAGAAAGTGCTAAAGAGAAATTGAAAGAGAGAATGTCCATTATAAAAGCGATTGCAAATGATTTCAAGAAACCTGGAAGTGAAAAGTCATGAATTTAAAATTTTAGTTTTTTTTGCATATGAAATAATTTAAATTGATTGTAAATAAATTGAAGGAAATTCGGTACATATGAGTTTCAATCTGTTTAAAAAATCTGTTTTTCCGTTAACCAGCTGTTGCACCCCTACGAACGATAACCCTCAGAAGTCGAAACTCGTGCGAGCTGAGGATTAACGAGGTCTTACCTTTTAACGTGTGATTCCTAACACGGGTTGGAGCATAGAAATTGATAATCGATTGTTTAAACTGGGGCTTGAACCACCGACCAACACGGTAGTCAATTCGAGTGAGTGAACAAGGCATCCACGTCGAACCGCCTGGTTCGACGTGGGTGCAAGGGAACAAGAAAAACGAAATACCCAAGTCTTACTTGAAACAAATAAAGAAAATACACACTAGCAGTCTTCAAGCAAGTCTTTTAATTTCATTATGAAATCACTTGTATTATAAAGACTCAATAAGAACGTTTGTGGAAGTTTTGCTGAAAAGATGAAATAGGGTTCTTAGATTTCATTGGGAAAAAAATTAAAGTGATGGCTTGCCCTTTTCTAGTCTTTTGACTGAAAGTACAATGTTGTGCAAATTTCTTGTAGGAATGAATATCTGAGAGACATGTGACTGCTACATAATAAGTTGGTAACAGAAAAGGACTACACATTTAGAGTCAGATTAGATACTGGAATGTATATGTTTCAACATATTTTTTTAATTGCTTGACAGATACATTGTTTCTGTCATATTCAGCAAAACTTCTAAACATCAGTCATAACCTAGAACTAGACAACCACAATTCAGTGCCGGTTACGTATGTCTGGTTATAAGACCAAGCTTGATACTGATGGAATAATCTGTTGTTTTGATTTATAATGCATTGCTTATTCTTGAATTAACTAGTCCCGAGAATCGTTTTGTCGTGTATGTAGTCCAGGCATTTATTGATATTCTCATTAATTTTTGACCCCACATGATTTTGTTTTATTTCTTTGACTAGCTATAACTTTCACTAGACGAATCAGATGATATTACAGTAAATCGACCTCTTTCTTTTGTTTACTCATGGACTTATGAAGACCTAACTAACTTACTGTTTTTTTGTGGTCAATGCAAAGTGTGTTCTCCAGCTTGTCGGCTGTACAATTTATGAATTACTGAATTCGTTTTTGAATAATATTATTTGGAATATTTTTTACTTACAATTCATTCACTTACTCCAGACACTGTGTAAAATTATTGTCAACAAAAAAATAATAAGAGTTTTCAGTTTTTTGTTTATTTGATTAATAATCATTGATTTATTTGATTAATAATCAATCACAAACAATTTTAGAGAACCTTGTTTCAATATACCTACATCTTTTTACACTCAACGGAAGAAATGAGATCTCTAAGTTGTAAATTAGGTCAAACCTGGTCATCTCATAAATCGATCGGAAAGTAACCACGACACAATTTTTCACATTATTTATTATTTTGAATTGAACATATATTGAATGTTTATATGAAAGTAGTTGTTTCGAAAGGACTTCTTCCAGTTTGTATCTGAAAGTTACTTATTGTGTGATCTACACATCTTTCTGAAGAGTTCATTGTGAAATTCCCCCTTTTTTGTACAAAGATAGGTTGAAAGGAGTCTTGTATTTTTGGTAGTTCGCCATTTCGGCTTCAACCATTTTCAAGAAAATATTACTACGGCTCAATCAATACTATTATTGTATATTAACTTTGTTTTCGTTATAAAAAAATAACAAATATCGACAAGTTAAGGCAAACCATGTGGTAAGTATTTGCTTTTTATCGTTTCATTTATCTATGACTGGACGATTTATTAACAAGGATAATCAGGCGGTGAGTAATTACAGGAGTTCGACTTCGAAGCATTTTCAATTTTCATATCAACCCATTTCCAGTCAGAGCAAGCATCTTTTGCACAATAAATGTAAAATGCTCTTGTTTTTCGACCTTTCATATTTCCATGTATGTTGGATAAATTAATGTTTCTTATTGGAATGTTGTCTCTAACAGTTCCTGTACCTTCTCCATTTGCATAGTCTTGCTGGATGTTAATTCCAAAATTGGTTATTCCTGAAATTTCAAGGAGGATCATTAGTAGGTAACAGAAATTCCATTATACATCACTATCTGTCAATAATTCCGCCACCAAATATGGTAATGGGTAGGAGCTCTGGGAGTAGTTGCAAGCATACTTGCCTATTAAAATGTCGTGAAAAAACTTACCTACTGCTAAAAAATGCTTTTTATTGTGATACCAGTAGGTTCATAGGCAACGTGACTTGTAATTTCGACATTATTCTAAACTGAAATGTGTAAACTGTGTCGTTTTAGATTAATGAATATCAGGGTGAGCACCTGTAGATGAAATTGTCGTTGAGACATGTTTTCTACAGATCAGTTTTGTAATTATTAATAACATATCCATGCTCTGTTGAAAAAGTTTGTTCGGTTCCTTCTTCAAGAGGTTTTTCTGTGTGTTATAGGAAATACGACATAAAGTTCATTATGATAATATGGATATAACTGAATGTACAGACTAAAAGAATCGTCATCGAAGAATAACGATATTGAAGAAACAATTTCAGAATGTGAAATATTTTTTTTCACATAAACTAAATCACATACAACGAGTAAACATCAGCGGCTTCTGTATCCGAACACGAAGAAACACATAATGCAATGCATAATCTTCCTAATAACATTCCATCGAATCATCCTAAAAACAAAAACCTTTCGATATCGCAATTGTGATTCAACGTCTAGCTTCCCATGACTGGCAGTGGTTCGACAATATATTCCTCATCGCGTGATTAATTCTTACACTATCATAGAGCGTGGCGACCTGTCGCCAGGCCTGCAATTGGTGCTGCTATAGATGTTTCATATGAAAAAAACCTTTGAATTCCCCTTCAAATTAATCTTCAAATGTGTTCACGATTCAAAATTTAGAGAAGTTCATCTTGAGGATGAAAGATTTTCAAGTGAATGCCTTTTTATATCATTGCTCTTCCATATATTACATTGTGCAATGCTCCTCTAGAGGATATCTGTTTCAGTTCCATAACGAATTTTTGAAATACATGCTGAAAAAGCGATTTTCTTGTAATTCAATATTGAAAGTGTTGTTTCGAATGAGCTCTTTTCTAGTTTGAATCTGAAAGAAACTCTTTTAAATTGTTCGGCACATGTTTATAAAGGGTTTGTTTTGGATTTGTTTGCTTCCTTCCTTCGGAAGTTTCCCGCATTTTTGTATGAAGTTGGAGAACTTTTGAATTTTAGGCTTGAAAAACATATTAGAAAGATATGATATGTGTAGAGTGAAAATGAGTTCTACTTATAACCACTCCGAATGGATACCTACTATCCGACTATTCTTTATATAGATGCTGTCACCTGCAGCTTAAACAAATGTAGTGCAAATTCACACAAGGAAGGGTCTATTTGAACCTCACTTTAATTTGACGTACCTATCAACTCAATATTTCTGTAGGTGATGTTATTGATGAGACCGAACCATCCGTCAGTGTGAGTTTTGATATGTATGGCGTTAGCTGATCTGACAACGGTACTGTCTTCGATAAGAACATTGGAAACAACATTTTCAGGATAAGACGTCTTGTTGAATCCTACCGACAAACTCAAACCGTGTCCTCCGGAACAATACATATTTCTGACGGTGATGTTGGTACCATATCTGATAGCTATACAGTCGTCTTGATTGATGACCCTAGTGTTTTCGATGATGAGATTATTTGCTCCAGAAACGTCAAATCCGTCAGTGTTATGACCGGTGAAATTGTTCTGAAAATGATACAAATTTGATGATTAAAAAAAATATGTGTCAGTATATAGCAAATGAGAGGAAGTATGCGAACAATTGCAAAATGTACGCGAAATATACAGTTTTGGAAAAGAATTCAACGCGTGAACACTTGCAAATGAACGTTCTTAATGCAAATGTATCAGTTTTCGCGTCGTTCGCGTTATTTATTTGACCCCGACTGAATGAATACCCTCCTAGATCAAATTGCTATTCTATCGCGCTAGAAATCCCAGATCGCCAATGCGAATTACCACTCTATAGGGATAGGAAACTGTACTATGCCGAGTCGCCAAGGAGATTTGAAAATCATACGTTATTTGTTAATACACCGTACCACCGATGGAGTAGAAAAACCCGAAGAGACCGATACAAAAGAACAAGAGCAACCCAAGGAAAGGGAAACAGACGCCGAAAGTAAAGAGGAAACGCGCCAAACTAAGAGGCCACGCGGCCCTGACAGCGCAACGAGCTCAGATTCAGAGGAAGACGGGTTCGTACTCGTTGAAAAGGCTAGACCCAACCAGAAAACGACAGGCCCAAGACAAAGCCACAAAAATCGCCAAACAAGAGGCAGAAAAATAGGCCACGGAAAACATGGAAACGGAAAGCACACCTCAGACGAACAATACAGAGGGGCAAAACTCAGAAAAAGGGGAATCATCCCCAAAAGTGACAAGCGGACCACCGATGGAAGCAGGAAAGCCCCCACCAATAGTAATCCACGACGCCAAAAAGTGGAGTGCGATATCCAAAAACCTAGAGCAAAGAAAGATAGGTTACAATAAAGCCAAACTCATGAGGGATGGGATATACCTATTCACCAACGACGAAAACGAGTGGCGTAAAGCCACCAAATACCTGGAAGGCGAGAAACTGGACTTCCACACATATTCAGTAAAGAAGGAAATCTCACTGCACGCGGTTATCCGCGGCATACCAGAAAATGTAGAACCCGCAGACGTCGCCAACGATCTGACAAATCAAGGGTTTACTGTAATAGAGTGTCACAGGATGACCTCAAGAAGACGTAGGAAGGTACCTACTGCCACTGTTTTTGGTGAAAGTACCAAAAAGCGAAGAAAATATTTTTACGCTAAGAACATGCGTAAACTTGATAGTACGGGCAGAACCCCAAAGAATTAACAAGGGACTGGTATCCCAATGTCATCGATGCCAGTTCTTCGGCCACTCGCAGAGATGCTGCCACTCGACGGCACGCTGTGTCAAGTGTGGAGAGAACCACGACACCAGACAGTGTAAGAAAACAATGGACACGCCGGCCAAATGCGCGAACTGTATGGAGGCGCATCCGGCAAGCTACAGAGGCTGCAAGATGTTCCCGAGGCAGAGAACTTCAGCTTGGAACAAACCCAGAGAGGCGGAAAGACCGACGCCGAAGCCACAACAACAATCGGCTAAAAAGCCCCAATAAGACAACCACCAACAAACAACGAAAATGACCTAGTAAAAATACTTAGCAGTTTGACAGCCGAGCAGCAAAAGATTCGCGCAAGCGGTCTTAGCAGCTCTAATTCAAGCACCCGCCAAACAGTAATGCCAGTACGAGTGCCTGGCAGACTAGTCATAGGATCGTGGAACATTAACGGTTTCACAGACAGAAGAAACGAGCTACTGGAGCTACTGTCGCGTCTAGAAATAGACGTCATGGCACTCCAGGAAGCACGGATAAGAAGCGAAAAGAGCTATAGAGCTATCGAATCCCAGGATATAATATATATAGGACAGACAGGCCAGTGGGGCGCAACGCCGCAGGGGACGTTGTGCTACTGGTAAAAACAGATTAAGAGCAAAACGAAGAAAGAAAACCAGATGTCCAAATCGGAGAAGTAGTAGCGGTCAGAGTCAACGCGAGACGCTACGAACAACTGAGAATATCGTCGGTATACCTACATCCTCGAGGAAGAAGACTAGAAAGAACCGACATGGCAGAACTATTCCCAGATCACCATCCTACAGTGGCCATCGACGACTTCAACGCAAAGTCGCCAGACTGAAACTGCAGAATTGCAAACACAACAGGCAGAGATATAGTAAGATTACTAGAAGAATTTGAGGACATCGAGGTAGTAGCAGCTAACAGCCCCACGTACTACCTGCAAGCAGACGCAGTCCCAAGCACTCTCGACATCGCACTAGTACAGAACATTGATACTACGGAGATGGAAGTACTAGACGAAGGTTCGTCAGACCACAACCCCAATAGGAAGGGGTGAAGTGGAAACAGACAACCCAACAAGGCGAGTCATAGACTGGACAAGATTCCAGCGAGCCATACACGATGCGGATCTGGAGAACGCCACGGACCAGCTTCAGCAGGCGATCATACAAACAACGGAAAGAAGCGCGCGGGAAGTCCCAGCCACGCGCTATAACTTTCAAGAGCATCTTCCGCCAGAAACGATGGAACTAATCAGAATGAGAAGACGCCTGAAAAGACAGTACCAAAGGACACGTGCACCTATGGACAAAAGGTGCATGCATAGAGCAAATAGGATACTGAAAGAAGAGCTGAAAGCGATCCGAGAAAGACAATGGACTACCCGTCTGGAAGAACTGACCATAGAAGATCGATCTGCATGGCAAATGCAGAAAAAACTCAGAAATAGACTGGTCTACACTGACCAGGAGAAGGCGAAAGCATTCGCGGACAACTTCGAAAGGCAGTGCAGAGAGAATGACGTCCCGTTCACAGACGAGGCAGACGAAATAGAGAGACAGGTGAAAAGAACGGTACGGAGGCTTAGACAACGGACAAATAACGCGCAACCCCTGGCCCCGACATCGCAGGAAGTGAAGGACATACTGAGACGCCTTGCCACTCGGAAAGCACCAGGCCCAGACAATATAACAAATCGAGCACTGAAAGTGCTGCCGCGAAAAGGTATAGCAGCCATAACCAACATCATAAATGCTATACTCAGACTGCAACACTTCCCGTACCAGTTCAAAGAGGCAACGGTAATCCACATACCAAAGCCCAAGAAGAACCACCTGTTTCCAGCGAACCACCGGCCAATAAGCTTACTGCCATCCATAAGCAAAGTGGCGGAACGCGTCATCCTGAAGAGACTGGAAGAACAAACCAGAGAGTTAGGGATCCTCCCCAACGAACAATTCGGTTTTAGATCAGAGCACTCAACAGANGGGGTGGATGGAGTGGGTTAGTAGGTTCTCCTCGCTAAATAGCTTGGGGGGGGAAGCTTCTAATTCAGGGCACTCAACCCGGGAGGGGGCATGGGGGGGGACCAAGGCAGTTCAGGAGTTCAGTTGAGTTTTAGTCTCAGTTCCAGTTCCAGCTCTGCTCGAGTCCGAACCCCGATAAATAAAGGCAAACCGATAAACAAAAAATAGCAGGTACCCAGGATTCGAACCCAGGACGGCAATTAAAGCCTGCCGTACTGGCTACAGTTGATTTAGTCAATACCATAGTGACCCTTAGTGTATTTACCCTTCTTCACTGACGCTGCGCGGAGCACGTGGAGCACACCACGCCGAAAGCTAGCGCCCGAGGCAACCCGTAACCTGAACTCGGCATCAAAGTGACCAGTAACGCGTAAAGAGCGTTACAATATTGAATGCGAAATGACAATTCTCTCATTTTTTTTTATCTTAATTCGATCGCGAACTGATCCCCTATCACGGAAACGTTATAGGGGATCATGAAACTAGTCTAAAGGTTAACAACAAGGAGCGCGGAAATCAGGTCAATGAAACGATCAAACAACATATTCACGACTTCTTGCAAAGAAACAGAGCTTTTGATATACAACCACTTTCCTGCAAGTTCAACTATAACAATTGACGTCCCTTCTTCAGTTCCGTTTCCGATATGGTGGTGGACGGACGTGCCGATAGCGACCGTCCAAAAAGAAGGTACGCGGACGCCATTATTGGAGACGGAATTCATTTTGTGTTGTGAATGTCCGCCGTTTCATGAGTCAGGACAGTCTGGAATTCATTTTGTGTTGTGAATGTCCGCCGTTTTATAAGTCAGGACAGTCTTTGTCCCTCGACGATGCTTTTGTTATGTAACAGCCAGTTACGTAACAGTCAAATTCGCCTGAAAATAGGAAGCAACGACCATCCAAAATATATATATAGAGAGAGAGAGAGCTCCCTTTTTTGAAGGCACCACATTTCTGAAATGCACGAATGGAAGGTTGCCAAGAGAATTATCACAGCTGCGATAGTTGAATGGGATATAAAATCACTTAAGCCTTTTGGAAATTTTCAGGATACTGTAAAAAGTTAGTCTGGCATGGAATTACATTTCACTCATTTGGTTGGCAGCAAAGACAAGACAACGATTATAGTGATGAATCAGTGAAGTTGTCACCAAAAAGGCTAAAATATGCTTTCCGACTCCTGATTATGGACAATATGAAATTATTACTAGCCCTCCTGACCCAACTTAAATGACTGCAAAGGATACTGAAGGATAATTTTTGAATATATTAGGTGAGTTTGTTTAAGTACTTCCCCCTGAACTGTATAAAATATGCTCATCAAACTGGAAAATCAACCCACTTAGCATAACATAACCTTGAAGAAAAAATCACCAGACATGTACTATTGGGTATTTTATTCAGAGTCACCAGAGGTTTTCTATAGTACTGGAATCCCAGTTTCTGTGGGACAGTTTGCTTGATGTTTTCAATCTACTCATAAACTAATGCAAATGAGATTATTATCATATGAAAACAAAAAAGAGTAGCCTGCAATATCCTCCAAAGAACTTTGGCCGATGTTTATAGTTGGAGTGAGGTAGCAGATATCTGTAAACTCCAACAAAACTGTGATAATATCAAGTGAAGTTCTCAGCATACTGCAAATGAAAAAAACTTTCAATGCCAGAAATTCTTTCAGAAAAGATTGCTCGCAAACCAATGTTTGATAATGCTTTTGAGGATATGCTGGTAAAGTACGCCCTCATGATGGAAGATAAATTATACGGTTTGACTCAAATGGATATGTAAAGAATAGCTTTTACCAGCTTGCTGTCAGAAATATTCTGTCGAATCCATTCAAACATGAAAAATCTGCGAAAGATACTGGCTGGAGGGATTTCTCTCAAGGTACAAGCAAATATTATCAATGCAAAAGCCTTCTGGAACATCATTTGGAAGAGCAAACGGATTCACAAAAGAAAGAATGAACGAATTCTTATGAAAACTTTGAAAAAATTTACGATGCTAATCGAGTCTGAATATCCTAAAGCAATTTCTCGTCGTGACTAAATACAAATTGGAGCCATAACGTCTGCTGAAAGAGGGTATTTCATTACGATAGTGACTGTGAAAATATGAGCAAAATTTCAATGAAAGGCACTTTTGTGGAATCAATTTGACGGGCACATCCATCTGGTTGGATACAGATTTGTTTACGCGTTTACGCAGTGGTTTCAACATTTTATTGACTATGTGAAATCATCTGAAGTATCGTCAGTTCTTCTTTTGTTCGATGGCCACTTTAGTCATAAAAAAACCACGAAATCATAGACAAAGCTACAAAAAATCACATAACCTTCGAAATATAATATCGAATTACGCCCCCTAGCGACATCTCTTGACTTAATATTAAGATTACTAGGGTTCCAAACGTACCCTGGTCTGAGAAGAAGCCAGGGGTAACTCTATTGTGATCTCACAAATATCATGCTAATACAGTAGTCAGAGCAATTCATTCCCATGCGTTTTTATGCTTGAATAATCTTTTTTACACTATAATAGGCTTTTTCAGTCAATTGTTTACAACAATCACTTCATTTACTTGCAACAGGGAATGTTCCTCAATTTGGGTTATTACAGCAAATGCAAGTTTGAACAAAATAAAGTTGAGTTCACTTCATGAGTTTTTCAAATTCACTTCGAAAAGTATTCAAATTGATGTTTCAAATGTTGGGTTTATTTTTTAAAGGGATTTGTTTCTAATTCACATATTGGCAACAGCGCCTAGAATGCTAGGTCGGAGTTCAGGTTAGTAGTATGCTAGAAGGAGATATTCTACTTTAAAAAAGGAAAATTATCTTCATGAATCAACAATTAAGGCAAAATATAAATTATCCACCTCCACAACCCACATAAGCAACAGTTGTTTTGTTATTTTTTTATATAGAGGAAGATAGGTTATGTGCACAAAATGTCATATGTCACAGAATGTCTCGGAACTTGGAATATAAGTAAATAGAACAGCACGCCTCTGAAATATGTCATCTTTGTCTCATACAGGTAACAGATTCATTGTCCGTTATTAGCCATAACCGAAGTTGCCAAATGGTGAAATAGAAACAAATCCCTTTGAATGTTGAATGCATTATTTCATTCCTCTTTTTTAAGTATTTAAGTAATTTTTTAAAGATAAAAGTTGAAATGATGAGTTTAAAATGCTCTTTTATGAAAACTACTTGATTTTCGTCAGGAGGAACATTCACCACTCTAACATGTTACTGACTAGTTTATTATAAAAGCGTATATAATTGCCCATTCTATTCTATTTCAAATTATATTCACATTAAGTAATCGGTGCCTTTCAGTGAATTTATGTATAAACCAAAGTTTATGCCATTTATAGAAAAATTAGATTGTTGATTATTTTTATGCACTCAATACATTAGTTTATGTAGTTTTCACTCTTATTACTCTGAACCCTTGGTGAGTATTCCAAATAACACTTTCCTCTTGAGCAAAAATCATTTTTTTTGAGAAACCTCGTTTACAACTGAAAAAATGCATGTCTGATGGTTGCGATTCAGGTTCAAGACCATGCAGAACTTTTTATAAAGATTAATTTTTGTTTCGTAAAGTTAATAACAAAAAAGTTTTACATATAGTGCAAACTCAAGCAGACTCACTGTATATTGTTGGTATACTGGTTTTACTGACGCATAACTGCATAAATGGCCAAATATAAAATATGCTAAATTACTACTCAAATTTTTTTCTACATTGAAAAACCTAACCTGATACATGTAATTTGTTTTATTTTGAAATATTTGCGATCTTGGTTTTATTCTGGTAACAGTTTATTTTTATAAAAATACTCACTTTATCTCCATCTGACACATCAATCACCCAGTCGCTTATAGTAAGCCCATCAGATTTTCCAACGTAGATGCAATGATGTGGACAATTCAGTATATTGATATTTTTCATTACAGATCTTTCATTAGCTTCTATTTTAATGAACTGGGGTTTTTTTGGTCCCTTGTCTCCTTTTCCATCCCAGTATAGTGGACCTTGTCCATCAAGAACTGAACCTGCGGAAGGTTTAAATCAGTGATCATTTTAAACATACCTTTTTTCAAATGTTGCACATTATTTAGTAAAAAAACGGAACACTTTTAAAATTAGGAAAAATAAATAACAAAAAGCAATGTATCACAGATTTTTCTTTTATATAGTAAAAGGTCATTCGGTCCAAGAAGCATGATCCCTGAAGTTACTCGAGAACAACGAGTATGTCAAACCAGTGTTCTCTTGAGGTTGAAGAGTTAGACGGGTTCATTTTGCTAAAGACTTCAATAACCAGAACAATCATTTTCAATCATTACTATCTCTTTATTATTACTCAACTTGAAAGATGCTGAGGGTCGTACCTTTTCTCTGGAGTTCTAATATACACACAAGACCGCGCCAATATCTAAAACCACTGGCCAGTGTGCTCTTTGCTGGCCACTCTTCACACCGTTAGGTAAATGGTTACAAGGCCCTAGACTCATGTGCAATGAGCAATAAGACAAAATGGACCAAGAATGACAGCTTTTCTGTATTTGTCGCCGTAAGGCGAAAATCAAGTACGATATTGGAGTTTTCGAGAGGGGAAAGTATCATTTTGTTAATGACTCAAATAATCGGAATAATCATTTCAACCGAGTATTCTGAGTACTGTCTGAGAATTTGAAAAGAGAATCTTGATACTGTATCTGGATTTTTTTCGGACAATATTCTTCTCATGTAAATCTGAAAAAATTCACAAGAAATTTCTTTTGAATTCGTGATACCTCGCTATGTCCAAATATAAGTCGAGACTTCATAATATACTAGTAGTGCTGATAGCAAATTTATAAAAGGATCCATGCAGGCCCTGTACCTGGTATCAAGAACGTCTAAAGACTAACCTGGCAGTTCATGAAGAAACTCTCAGTTTCTCATTCGACCTGAGGAAAGTGTTAAAATATAAGTGAATTTCTATTCATTTTGGATGTATATATGTACGCAAGAGGGCGCCACTGATATAGTAGTTATATTATCTTTGGCAACTATGTAATATGGAAGATGAAAGAGTGTAGTCTAGTCGTCATCTTCATGGCAAAGTATACAGTTGAAATCTGTGGTTACTCGTTAATGAAAAGTTTTATCTCGTTCATGTATAGAAATAGTAATTAAATGATCGTTAATGAAATTTAACTGTGACTCATTCGAACCTGTGAAACAACCTCTGCATATTTATAATTTCTTAAAAAGCAAAGGTCAGAAACTTTGATAAACCGAGGTCGAGAATGTTGTTGAGGCAAATCACATGTGAAGGTACAATAATAAAGTGGTCTCTTCGGCTTTGAATGGAATTTTTTGCTGAAGGGGCTTCACCTCGATGAAATAGTTTTAAGTCGTACGGCGGATGCAAAAAGAAAGGAATCTTAAAAAAAGTCGTCCCGAAATACTCCTACACCCCTTCTGTTCAGATTCTTCCGTGACCAAATGAAATAGTAAGGCGAGTCCTCCGGAGTGTTGTTCAAAGCTTCACAGTATTCCTAGAATAATATCATTTTCATGGAAGAGATATGTATACCGAAAAAAATATAATGGAATTTACCGAAATACAATTCACTAAAAAATTATTAGGGTGACGACCTAAAAATCTATCTGGTGACCACTTCTTTGATCCTCATCGGCCAATGCACCTATCAGGAAAGGTTTATTTCAAATACTCACGAACAGTAAGGGTATAGTGGAAAGTTACTTGAATTGAACAAGAGAAAACATTAGAGGATTCAAATAGAAAATGGATTCGTAAAAATGAAACTGTAATGATTCTTTCGAATCAATTTGTTTTAAACAAATTTCCACAATGTCTAAATCATTCAAATGAATTTGTTTTTCGGTTTTCTCTATTATTAACGCAGTTATATACAATATAAATGGTTTTTATTTTATCATATGACGAAATGATCATTTTGAAAACTGGCATTATGCAGTGCTGTATTATGTATTATGCTTTTGGCTTTACAGTTTGTTTAATTTTATGAATTTAAGGGATATTAAGATTTATGTAATAGTTGCTTAAAAATTTGAAAAGTTATAAATAGTTACTCAATATAAAATAATGAATTTTGAAGAGCACGTTATAGCTAGAAAAAATCAATGAATATAGTTTGGTAACTCATATAAGATGTTTCTACCGGGAAAAAATCAAAAAAAGTTTGTGAAATCGTAGTGCTCAGTATTCAGAAATTCATACTCATTGATGAATACAAGAATGTTGAGAAAAATGTGTTTTTTTCACTCCATGCAGTATCGAATCGACGATCCAATATGAAAACTTAGACATCCAACACTTTTATGTTTTTTTGAATACCTGTACTTCTTGACAAGACAAACATTTACAGAAAAATAATGTCATAGAGGAAATACTATAGAAATTCAGAGAATTTTTTGACTTTTCGTAGATAAAATTTTCCAACCCACCATTGAATTGATATAATTGACACAGATGAAAGGAAAAGTTGTCTCAACCCTGAAATAACCGAAAATCATATTTGAGATGATTATTTAAAGAGCCTTTCCTACCTGCCCTTTCCGAAATTTTTCAGATTGGTGAATACTAGGAAGGTCGAGAAAAATGTAAATACATAGTGTTTGGGATATTGGGAAATTATACATTGTAATGAGTAATGTAGGCCAAAGAAGGTCGATAGCAAAAAAAATATCCAAATTTTATCATTTTCTTCGACGGTCACATCGGCTACGAAATTCGAAAAAATTTTAATGTTCAATTTGACTCGCAAAACTATCTTGAAAACTCCCTATACTAAATTTTTCATGTCTCAATGTGAGAGTAAAGGAACACTTCAATTTTATAGCCGAATTGAACTGTTCTATATTGAATCTATAGAAATTCCTGTTACTATTTTCGATAGTGATATCACCATAATCGATACCCAAATTTTCAACTACCAAAATCTAGGAGGGGTTTCAAAAATAGAAATATTCAGAACAATAGTGATGAAATACAAGAAATATGAACCCCTTCTCCATGAAACCTATTGTACTTATTAGTTCAAACTTCTCCTGGCGATCCTTAGGAATTGATTGCTGAAAATACCCCCAAATCTGAAACTCATTCGCATTCAACACATGATCACATGAGAGTACTTGTGTCTAATTTTCTCAGACATTTTTCATAATGAAAATTTGAGATTGACGTTTACAAACCAGGTGAAACATCGCATTGAGATAAGTGACAACAAAAAAGACTGACGCCTGTGAAAATGATGAATAGTAGTAAACAACAGAAAAATCTATGTAATAAACCTGAAAACATCAGACGATTATATTACACTGTTAATAAAACAGGTGTTACTACTGTTCTTCAGGTCATTTAGACCGATAATTTTGATGTTCCTGTTGTGTTAAAACTGATTTTGCCGCATGGTCAAATATGATATTGAAACATCTAGAATAGGTACTTAGAACGAATCAAGTGCTAATTCAACTATCATTGAATTTCGTGAATGGTCCCTCACAGTTTGCATGACAATGGATAAAAATGAAATTAGTATGTTTTAGTCTTATCTAACGCACTACAGGTCAGACCATTTCTCCGAGCTCCTCCTATACTACAGAGAGTACGCCAACACCATTATTCAATGAAAATTTTCTTCATCGTGAGGTAGGTGATCATTAGGCAAGACGCAATACGCCAAGAATGACAGCCTTCTGTATTTATTTGGTCATGATTTCTGCCGTAGTGAGACAAGTCTTGAAACACGGCCTTTGACCGTGTGTGGCATGAGGGTTTGTTGGCCAAACCTCGATGATATTGCTTGTTGGATCATTTCTGTGTATGGCTCTTCAGCTTCCTGAAATAACGTTTCCTGCAAGTGGCCGTTAATGGATATCTCTCCAATACTTTTACCATCAACGCTGGTGTTTCCCAGGGATCCATATTGTCTCCAACCCTCTTTTCATTGTATATCAACGACTTATTGGAAAAAAAACAATAATCCAATTAATTGCTTTGCTGACGAAAGCAAACTTGTCTCGTCATTCCATTTGGATTCCAGGACATCGGCTACGGATGCACATTTCCACCGGCAACAGGAGGTTGCATATCTTAATGAGGATCTAGAAGTGATTTCGAATTGGGGTGAAAGTGACCAGGACCAATTCAATGCCACAAAAATCCAGGCAACGGTTTTCTCCAAGAAGATAAATGTCTCCGAACCGGATATAATAATGTCAGGTCAGACAATTCCGCTTTCTGTTTCGATAAGTTTGTTGGGGGTTAAAATGGACACCTTGAAAATGGAAAATGAACAGCCGTCACGCAACTATGGAAGTCTAAGGTGTTGAAGACATTATCCAGGCAAACCATTTTGAACCTCAGTTTCCGACTTCAGCCCACTCGACCTCAGAAAAGTAAATCATGGATATTATTATTACTATCACTATTCAAATCTCTCAAATAGATCTCTCTAAATGAATCATGGTATACACAATTTTCAAATGCAATTTTTGTCATGCAATGAGCGTCACTCAGAAAAAATTTAATCAAAACAGAAAATTCATTATACTCATCGAAGTGAAAAACATATTTCATAGTATTATCCATTGAATTGTAGAAGATAAGATTATCATGTCTAGTCTAGTCTAGAGTGGGTTTAATTGTGCTATTTACGTCAGAAATTAATCAAAGTAATTCTTTAGTTTTTTTTTTACATTTATTCATACCTGGCTCTCCTTGAATAGTAATGTTGCTCCCTTTGACTCTGATGAGAGGACCAGACCACGGTGTGTACTCGAACCTGGTAGTACCTTTGAAAGTCACTGTAGTTCCTTTTTGTAAATAGAGTTCAAACGTGATACCAGCAGGAAATACGAGATTGTCAATTATAATTGTGGTGCAGTTACTGAGGACTGATGGCACATCTGAATACCTTCTGATAGTGCAACCCGGTGAAGAAGCCAATGAAAATGATCCCGACAAAAGGGTAGTTACAAATATAATTTCAGTAAGAAAAATCATCGTTACTGGTGCACTTGGATAAGGTAACGGATAACGGATTTGATATAGATTCATTAGAATGTATACATATATTTATACAAGGTTTTATCTGATTGATTATACTTGTTCAGTTATCGCAGAGTATCACATCAATGGCATTGGAATGTAGGCAGGGTCGAACTAGACACTTTTTCCAAGGAGCTATGAAATAACTGTCATCTCTGTTGAAAGCATAGAATTCAGATTCAGGGTAACACCGAAGCTTGTGACATCTTGTGATTGTGTGATTGTGTCATATTGTGATTGGGAGAAGGAAATATGTTTTTAGTCGCAGACCCAGGATAGAGATATCTACCGGCCTAGGAACGTATGCGACTGTATTTCAAGCGGAAATTTACGCAATTGAATTGTGTGCGGAGAGATTGGATAAATCCAACCTCACACATAAGTCAATAAAATTTTCTCGGACAGTTAAGCGGCGTTGGAAGCTCTTGGCTGCTACCGAGCAACGTCTAAATTGGTATCAAATTGCCAAAAACGACTCTCCTCGATAGGAAGACTGGTCTGGATTCCTGGCCATACTGGCCTGAAAGGTAATGAAGCTGCTGACTCTCATGCAAAGGAGGGTGCTGCAAGCGGCTTCTACGGACCAGAAACTGTCATTGGCATCGCTTTGGTTTGCCAAACACACATTGGATGGCAAGAAGATTAATGGACTTCTTGCAGAATCTTCCAGGATTGGCTCACTCCAAGGCGTTTATCCACCCTTCGAAGCCTGATACCAAACAGTTGTTGGACTACAGTAGGGATGAACTACGATGTCTAACAGGCCTTCTTACTGGTAACTGTCATTTGAATCATCTAATGCAGAGACCTGGACTGTCGGAAGACAGTATGTGTCGCCTCTGTCTGGAAAATGATGAAACAGCAGAGCAGATACTTTGTGCTTGTCCCGCTGGGGACCGAATCAGGTTCTTAGAGTTCGGCAGATCCGTACTCTTACCATCTGACCTAAAAAAACCACTCACCATATAAACTAATCGGCTTTGTTAAGAAGCTGGGTTTATTTGGCCGAGTGTGAATAGGTGTGAGCCACAATAAACTCTTGCGGGTTGCGGTGGAGGGTCGAATAGACCCACTCACATTAGACCTAGCCTAACCTACCTCAATCCTTTTTGAGTATTGTAAGAAAATAATATGTTGGGTTGACGTGGGTGGTGTGCTCCTCTCACTCAATCGATCGCTTTGTGAACCGGTGGTTCGAACCGCAGGGCTGGACGATCAATTTTCACTTCCCATCGTCCAACCCGTGTTAGATTAGGTAAGGTAAAAGACTAGGTTGAAAGGTGAGAACTCGTTAGTCTTTAGGTAGCACAAGTTTCGACTTTTGATAGTTGTTGTTCGTAGGGGGTCGACATCGACAGCTGGTTACCGAAAAAACAGATTTAACAGACATATTGTATTTTCAGAGATCTCACAATGTCTGACTTGTCTAAGAGAATACTCAGTATTCTGGACCATGTTTTTTAGAACTCAGAACTCAATGTTTTGCACTATTAGGATAATTCCATTATTCAATTCTGAAATAAATGGTATTCTTCTTTAAAATTACATTTTTCATAACCTAAAAGGCGATAGTCAAATACGCGATTGTCAAACACAGCGTGTCCAAAAAAATTTAGTGCTTATTTGAATGACGTTTTAAAATTCAAGAGATTTCGATTATGTGTGATATATCATTAAAGTTGTCATCAAAAAGTTTAAAAAGTGCTCCAGCTGCTACTTCGCCTATTCATCATCTTTCTTTGTCAGTTTCAGTTGTAGATTTTGTTTTCTGTAAATGATGGTGAATAAAGTCGATTTACTATTAAAAGCTATCTTATAATGGGTGATTAATTTTTACAGTCCATATAAAAAGTGAAAAAACTATCTTGTACAGCTTGAAAAATGGTGTCGAGAAAGTATTTTTTGTTTTTGATAATTCCTTTGATAACAATCGAAAAGACATCTCAAATTCTATTCAAGACTAAAGTACACCGTTTCTTCATTGTATACAAAACTTTCACAGAGATATGCTTTTTGTGAATACACTCAAATTTCTAACTGGAGTCATCCACACTAAGATATTGTGATCTATTATTAGCTGCAATAAACTTTCTACCCCATTTTGTTCCTTAAAGACCTATTCATTTTTTTCAAATTTATGTATGAATTTCATAGATTTCATTCAAATTCGTTGCATAATTGTAGATTTTCATAAAGCAAAATATAATTAGAAAAAAAACTTATTATTTTTATGAAAATGCACGAGCAATGCCGAAAAATAATACAGCGCTATAGGAGTGATACCTGTACCGAAGTTTTAGTAGATTCACATCGCTGTAGATTATATACATTTAGGAATACCACCTCAAAAAGTTCGTGTCCTAAGGAAGCCGTTATTCAAATGAATACATTCTTAAAAAGTATAGTTTGAGATGTGTTACGTTGAACCTCGAAGCCATGAGCAGCTGTATTTTATGAGTAGGTACTTCAATGACTTCGTTCGTATACTGCTCTGGTCAGGATCTAACAAGTCGAACACTTCCAATGAATATTTCTATAGATGCATTTTATGTTCCAGGCTATCAAGGTTGCTTGTGATGTTTGGGTCTCCAGTTTAGGCGGATGGCTCTTTTTCGAAAATAATCTAGCAGTGTTGATTTCCTACCACGTAGTAACGGCTACATCCATCAATTAATTGATTAATTAATCATCATCTTCATCACGAACGAGTCTCTGTGATCACCTGTGATCGCGTCATGGCAACAGAATTCAGAGTGGGGACGTAGTGAGAGAGTAATATATAGAGAAAAAGTGAATAGAGAATAGAGGAATATAAACTCAGAGAGGGAAATATAGGTATCACAAAGATGCACGCATTAAACTTCATTGACAAATTTTTGTTATTTCGGCTTGCGGAAATCGTCAGATTATATATTTTTCGTTGTCGCTCGAGAATGTCGAAATGACGTTATTTTTTTACAACTTTGCTGCCCTCCCCTTTCTTCACGTCACTCTCAAATTGTCAGATTACTGGAATATACACTTTTTAGCAGGTAATTAACTCATCCTACCTTAATCTGACGCGCTCGAGAATTTCTGATGATCAAATTTTTTTTACTAATCTGATCATTTTTCCCTCACAGGCGGCCTTATATATGGGGCTCATATTTGGTTGAGGTACTTAACCGGGCGCAAGGTATCCCCCTGTATATTAATCTGCCGCGCTTTAGTAAATCCCGAAATCCCCGCTTGGGCTCCCCTATTATCAAAGCTGTTTGACTTTGATGTCTTCCTTCATTAAAAATAATAATGCTATTTTGATGTTGGAGGCATTGTGAGTAGGTATATGACTCTTGTTATTAAATATCAACAAAAAATTTGATTCATTAAAATCTTTCTGAGTCATAGTGGAAATCAAACCAACCGATCGACTACTGAAATACTTAATCACCGACACCCGGAAAATATTATATCACATTACACAACAGTTGTGCGAATTAACTAGAGGCTCTTGAAAATAGGTTCAGTGGAAAAATTCTCATGCAAAACTGGTTATTGAAGATGAATAAATTAAGATGTATTGTTGGCAGTCATTAAAAATCATGAAACATCCATTAACGATATTTCATGAAGAACTAGTACCTACAAGTATAAGACATCCTTGAAAAGAATTTCAATACCATTCATAAAACTAATTTTATTCATACTCTATTAGAGGTTATGACAGAAGATTTCGAATGTGGTAAAGCTTCAATATAAAATCCAAAAACACAAGAAAAAAAACTTTTTTTCGCACTTTGTCAAAACTGTCTTCTGGTAGTTTACCATTCAATTACTTAACAAAATTGAGGTTACAACATGGACATGGTGAATAAAATCATATTCGTCGTTTTTTTGTGCAAAAAACAGGTGGAAGGTGATTTTCTCTTGATTTTTGGGAGGCCATGACTTTAGAATAATGTCCTGATCATTATTTTACGTAAGTACAAATACGGCAACATTCTGAATTTCCAACCTCCTTATTTATCCATGGAAAATATTATTATTAACAGGGAATACATTAAATTTTTGTGTCGAACGAAATCTTCAGATATGATCTGAATGTATAGAGGTATTGAGAGAACGAATTTATTCTTTGTTATTCTACATAAAATCAGAAATGATTTATAACGCAATAATGCATCAAACATATATCATTTTGATCTGAGGCCCAGCATAATATATTTTCATCACACTCGGAATTCTAGGAAATTCAATTGTCAAATTTTGCAGTAAATTGTCCGGTTCTAAAAACGATCTTAGCATATTTTAAGGATTCAGTAGAAAAACCGAAGATTTTTTACTAGCACATTCAGGACCTACAAATACAGAAGAGAACTTCTCAATTTTTCATAAGACATTTTCGACACTCATTTTTGTGATTGTCTAGTTTAGTCATCAAATAACAAGAATATTAATACCGGATGATCCAGGATAATGTCTATTTTTCAGAAGGCAAACCCAGAAAATAAGTCATGTCATAACATAAACATATTTATATGTAAATATAGATAAAACGAAAGCCAATAAAAAATGTATCAACGACAGGGTATTTCCATTGGCCGCTTCTATCGCTTGTGGTATACAGTTCTTGTATTTTTCGAATTATTTCAAACTTATTTTTAGCGGCAATAATTCAGTCTGAATTCAGTCATCAATTTATCAGCTATCATCTTAGCAATGGCTAACGAACTGGTAGCTCCTGGACTTGGAGCGTTTCTGCAATGGAGAATTCTGTGGCCAATTGGATTTTCATTGTTCTTGGTGTTCATGTCGAAGTAGAAATCGTCAACTAAATTTCCTAAAAAACAAAGGCAATTATTGTTTGTTAGGTATTCAATAAGCTATAAGAAAATGATAACAAAATTATCATACAATATATTTATTCAAGCAGTAATTTTTTACTTTTCGAGGACATTGGTACCTTAGAGATGATTATCAGGGTTCATTATCTTGATATTTCACTGAGAACTAATCTTTTTATCTATGATAACTATTATTCATACGAAAAACAACGGATTTCATGAAGCAGAGTCGTATCAATCGTTTTGTTGAGAAGCGATGTGTTGAATAATTAATCAAATATTTCGTATCCTGACAGCATGATTTTTTTATAGTTTTTTTGCACATGTATTAGACTATTTGTTGCATAAGTGCACATGAAGATATTTCAATAGGTGCAATATAATTCTTCATACTTCATTATTGCGTAAGGAAAGCACCTTCCAACAATACAACAAAGGTTGAAAATAATGAAAATTCAAACAGATAATTGCACAAGCCAGAAACAAGTGTGACGTCAATAAGAGTATATGTATATAAAAATATATCTGAAATTTGAGACGACTACGCAGCGTAAAATTTTCTGTGAGTTATATTCCCCATCAACTTGGCAACATCGGGCCATGTCACATTTTAGATTATTTTTGAATTTCATTAGTTCGGACTTTCATTGTCTGATATATAAAATTATTTGAAATCCCTGAAAGAACTAATAAAAAGAAGAATTTAAATACTTTAAATACCTCTTAGTCTATATAAAATGTACTTTCATGCCAAATTTCATCAAAATCTGAGATTTTCTAAGGATTGAGATAAGAAAGAGTTTTTGGCCTTCTACTTCTCCATCTTGATACAAAACATGTGTGAATCTTCCAAAGAAAGGAAGCTATTTTAATATAATCATTGAACTATACGAAAGAAAAATACTTTCGAAACAAAGACTTTTATATTAACGTTAAATTATACGAAAAACACTTTTCTTTATTCCGTTTCCATTCCAAACATTCCCAATGGATCCAAATCCGATATCATTCACAGAATTTCTACACAATATAACTAATAAAAGAAGTGAAATTTTACTTACATGGAACACTGTTATTTTTAGTGCTAGACATCCGATGTTTCGCCGTAAGACACTTTCCTTATTGGCTTTTCAGTAGCAAATACGGATAATGTTATGCGTATTTGCTATAGAGGAGCCGATAAGGCAAGTGTCTTACGACGAAACATCGGATGTCTAGCAGTGAGGATGACAGGGTTCCATGTAAGTGAAATTTTACTTATTTCATTAATTATACGAGTATTGTGTAGAAATCCTATGAATGATATCTGATTTGATTCAATTACGAATATTTGGAATACAAACGGAATAGAGAAAATGTTTTTCGTATATTTCAGAAGTAGAAGGCCAAAAACTTTCTTTCCCAAAAATTAATCTCTCCTAAAAATATACCCTTTCAATTCCAAGAGAAGTGTGTTGATTTGGCATGGAAAGATGCAATCAGAAGGGATTAAAATAATATCGATAATACTAAGAGGCTATCCACCCTGCTGTGTTCACAGCCTCTAGTCAGAAGACAACTCGGTATACCTCTAAAAATACTGTGCAACAATCGAACACTCCGGCAAATTCTACGACTTTCTCGAAATCATTCGAGAGCATTTCATGGGATCTTTATTAGTCTTCCAGTATTTCCGCGTTCGCTTTTCAGAAACAATGTGAGGCTCAAGTGAATACCGATGTGATGTCACGATACGTTATCAGAATTCTATGCACGTGAAACAGTTGACTTGTTATTGTACCTCAATTCCTAAAATACACTGATTATTATAGTACCTATTATAGTTACCCAATAAATCAAATCGTCTGTTAAGTTTGACCCAGATACTATTCATCACAGTCCTCATAACTTATTTTGTAAATTTTCGACTTCTCAGTGTTCATCCTCCTGCCTTTCCGGTTAACCGAAAGCTTGACTTGAACTCCAACAAGTGTTGGCAACCTGTATGGCAGGGTGATGAAAACGAAAAAGTCGGTGAGAAGTACGTCAATAACAATGTTGGCTCTCTTTTTCTCCCATGCTCTCCGAAAAGGCTCATATCGAGAGTAATTGAAACGTGGACAATACTCTATACAGCGTGACTCACGGTCGATGGTAGGTTAGACGTTTCTGGAAAACGCAAAGCATGATTTTTCTGAATAGAAGATAAATGTCTCCGAACCGGATATAATAATGTCAGGTCAGACAATTCCGCTTTCTGTTTCGATAAGTTTGTTGGGGGTTAAAATGGACACCAATATGTCTTGCCACAATCATGTCGCTGGAATTGCAAAGGCTGCTTCTCGAAAGCTTGGAACACTGTTCCGAACAGAAAACTATACACACCTCAGCAACTTTCAATGCATTATAAAGCTGAGATCAGACTTTCTTTGGAGTATTGTTCTCATGTATGGAGCTCTGCCCCCAAACATACTGCTGGATTCCATTCAGAAAAGAGCCATCCACCTGATTGAAGACGCGAAATTCACGTGCAACCTTAATAAGCCTGGAACATCCAAGAAAGGTTGGAGATTTCTCTCTCTACTATACTTTCACGAAAGGTGTTCAAGTGACTCGGCACATTTGATTCCACCAAGAGCAGTACATATCAGAAATACGTAACGGACTGTGGCTGCTCATCCTTTTTAGGTTCAACTGAGTAGACATCGAACTTTACCGTTTAAGAACTCTTTATTTGGAGAACTGCGTTGATGTGGAGTAAACTTTCTGAGAACGTTTTTCCGAATGGATTTAATCTCTAGCGATTCTCAGGCACCGCTCTGAGAACGCCTTAAGGATTTTTTTGCAGTGCTTGTGTTTTGTCCTAAAAAATATATTTACTTTGTGGTAAATGTTCAAGAAGTAGCGAAAACTTGTGAATTGTGAATTGTGTGAATTTCTGGAACTTCATCTAGCTTTTCCTAATATGACTAATAACCAGTCCGTGCAAAGCTTATTGTTAAATCATTTGAAAATGGAATTTTCAACAGGTGATGATCGACTGTATTGCCAAACCAACTGAGTGTTATAAGGAAACAAGTATAGCTGAGGCACCAGTCAATATAATAATAACACTCATGATCTTCAAACAAGACTCAACCTCTAACGGAAGCAAGAAACTCTTTGGAAGGTTCGAAATAGATGAACATAACATGAACAATAACTGCATATTCGTGCAGTTATTGTTCACTGTGGTTCTGGCGTTGAATTTGGTCATTATTACGCCTTGGTCAAAGACGAAACGGACTGGTTTAAGTTTGACGATAGTCGTGTCACGAAGTGTTCTGGCGATGTATTGAATTTATTGGAGCCTCTGGAGACACCCTACATTTTGTTTTATTATCGATAGAACAGGTGAGGAAATGTGAGAGGTGGAATTTTCAGAAAAATCATGCTTTGCGTTTTCCAGAAACGTCTAACCTACCATCGACCGTGAGTCACGTTGTATATTAATCAGTCAACTACATTATGAGATTCAAAAAAATTGACAGAACCCGAAATATTTATCAGACCGTCTAGTTTCACCTGTATTTATAGAGGCGTTGACGTCTTTCTAGGAGAAATCTTGATGACATTTCTTACTCAGGGCTATTCAGGACAGAGGGGTTCAAATGTTGCATATATGACCCGGCCTAGTATCACTGATGCGATGTATGGCGGATCGAAACACCATTATTTGGTATTGGATCGTAGGTGCGACGTTTTTGGGACCTGATGGCATCTAGTAAATCCTGATGAGAACGCAGTTTTTTTATTCAATGTCAAATTGAGGGAAAATGATTTTTGAAACTATGGAATCGAATGAAAATGCTCCTCTAGGACCTGATCGTACTTATTCGGCGTGGTTCTCCACAAAGAAATGAAGGCTATGCCGTAATTTTTCTCTGATAGTCCTGGATTATGAATATACCTTGCTCATCCAATGCTTGAGCTCTCACTCCAGATGGTCCTGGTACGACGTCTTCAACTGTGATCGAGGGAAAAAAGCTCCGTAACTCTTTGATTTGCATTGAGGTGCATAATGATTTCGTAATTTCTGAAATACCAGCTCCGGAGAATCTAAAGGCCATTTTTAAAAATCCAGGATATGATAGTGCATCCAAAAGTTCTTTAGGGTTAATGTCAGTCCATCTGAAATAAAAATGGAATTGTGTCATCATGCATATTGAAAAACACTTATGATGAAAAGGCCAAAAATCAATATAATGACAATTATAAAAAATATTTTTAATTTTTGAGAGAGTGGGTGAGTTAACTCTTCAGATAACCAAAATATACTTTTTTCGTGTATGACCGACCTAGCGATTCTGCTCACTGCGTCCCTAATGTAGTTCTACTACTTGAGGTTTCGTTTCGACCTTACAATGACATTTTTCGATTTCCAGTATGAATTTTCAAACAACAAATAACATAGCAAGATATTCCTTCTTGGTGGTGCTACTTCCTCTCAGTCTTCGACAGTGAGCGGTTGAGGTAATTGACTACTTTCTCGCTGCTCTCGTACTTTTGAACATGTATAGCACCGAGTGCAAAGGCATCTGACGCATCTGCTTGTATCGTGATATATTTAAAAAAATCCAGGTATGTTGTTTGCCGGAATTTCACGTGAATATGATCTGTTGAGAATGAACGATTTGGTACGAATTGACAGTACCATGAGATCAATCCAATCAGTCACCTACATCGCCCGCGTTTCTAAGTATTGAAATCTGTAAAATGACTTCCACCTTAGCTCGATATACCATTAATCCTCCAATTCTGTACTCAAGATACCGCAACTCCGACTTGCAACAACGATACTTTTCCCAGTTCAGTGGGGGAACGAACGATATCATCAAGATAATCTGAAACAAATTTTTCGTACTTTACCACCATTACTCCGTTTGTGAAGCATTGCCACATAGCAGGAGTATTATGCAGCCCTATTGGCATTCTACAGAATTTGTACAATCCGCGGTTGTGAACTACGAATGCTGTCAGATAGTTAACTTGTCAGATAGTCAGATGTTAACTTGGTTGACTGAACGCTAATCGACAAAAGTGTTTTAGTTCTATTGCTTTTTATTAGTTTGGAAAAGATCGTGATGAAATTATTTCCTCAGGATTTTATGATGCAACATGTAATATAGACACTGAATATCAACGTCATCTATGATTCTAATATTACTTGCCTGTATCCTTCTCGCTGAAAAGCTAATACTGCGTTCGGTCCAAGCCATACACTACCGTCCATACGAGGTGTGAAGTGAACACCTACAAAAGGTAATCTCGGATCTGGAACCGGGTAAATATTTCCGTTAATCAGTTTAGATTTTTCAGGTTTCAGCAACAAAAATTCCCCTCTGAATGGAACGATCCTCGGAGTTCGCGGGCATCCAGATAATTCCGCTAATTTGTCGGAATGCAGTCCGCCACATGTCAAAATGTATTTACTTCGAATTGTTTGTCCTGATTTTGAAGTTACTAGAACAGGATGATCTGCATCGTCCGATTTCTTGAACCCATTCACCTGCATTTTGAAAAAACTATATTAATAAACACCTTTACTAATAATACATCACCGACTTACGCCAAATGATGACTTTCATAGCCAAATTGTTGTTACCTTGAGTTACTTTATTGCAGTAGAAATTATTGACTTTTTTTTAAATGAAATACAACCCATGCTACTCGCTGATAATGTCGCTTTCTCTAGGTGAAATGATATTTAAAATCGATTAACTAGTTTTCTAGTTCATCCATTTCAATTCTTACCTTTTAACGTGTGATTCCTAACACGGAGACGTTAGATATTATACATTTCTAGGTCAAATTATTATTATTGGTTACCAACGATGGGAATATTACGATCATAGGTAGACCTAATAGTAGTTTCAACTTGAGTTTGAACAAGAATATGATACAAATCATTACTGAATATTGAGAATATAAAAACACGAATATTTCTTAAACTATTGCCTCATAAGGATAATTGTCAATTCACTGTTTACTGTTTTTAATAAGTGAGTGTTTTTTCAAATGTATCCTAAAGTAGTGAATTTGTAAAAAAAATAAAAAAGGAATTTCTAATAGATTTATTGTGAAATAAAACTAATTCCGAAGTACTTTTCTAAATGAAAAACGGTTCTAGAAATATCGAAGAAAATGGGAGATGATCAATTTTTATTTTCATTCCTGAACCGCAGTAGTCCTGGCAGAATTGTGATGAAGTTTTTTGTTTTTCTCATTGACTTCAACGAAATAGCGTTGAGTATTTTCGATATTTTCAATTATCAGTTGCAACGTGTTCCTAACTAGTTGATTGATATGGTATAGTTGTGGTTTACCTACATTATACCGATATATATCTTGAAAAAATGATTGATGTGAGAAGAGTACAAAAGAAGAAATGGTCATAATTTACGATTGCATTTCCTTGGGTTTCAACTTTATTATATTCACAAACAAATTTAAAAACGAATAATTCCCTAACCTCAAAATTTAGATGGATGTCGCCACCTTTTTCTTCGAAATCTTTTCCATACTGCTTTGTCACGAGGGCCCAGTCAACGATGCCAGTATGGGGCGACCACAAAGCCTCTAGACCAGTGCAATGGGGTTCTTTCTCCTTGATAGCTGCTTCTCCTTTCAATAATTTCAGATCTGGCACACCGTTTTGAATGCCCCTTTCTTGTAGTTCATGTAACCGCTGCACTTGTAGAGGACTAGTTGCTATAATCAGTTTTCCCACCTTCTTGTAGGGAATTTTCTTTTTATCACAGTATTCGTAGGTCAAATGAAGACCTTCCAGACATAGTTTTGCCTTCAGAGATCCTGAAATTTTTTATAAGATGATGCTTTTTCATATGCAAGAACAATAATTCAAAAGACGTTCTGTCTCAATATACATATAATAACCAGTACAAAACAATACGAGTATAAATGTTTCTTCTCCTTCATATTAGTTCACATCGATCGATATAGTAAATCTGTAATAAATTGACTTAACAATATCTAGCAATTATACCTAAAGTCTATCCAAATCCAAGATAGATTAAAACAAAACAAAACCGAAGCGTGATGTTCACGTGATCGCCCAGTGTCAGATGAAAAGGGCAGCGTTCATTGGTGAATTCGCCTTCTTGGTACGAGTTCGGTACCAGCACAGGGTTGTAATCAGTCGTTTGCGTGTTTGTGTGGCGTGCGTTATAGTATATTGTTTAAAATTGTTTTCCAAGATGTCCAGTACAGACACTGCTGATGACA